CGATATTTTCCACCTCTGGTATGATGACATCATACTCCGATCTTTTAGTGCTTAGTTAGATCGTGTGTACATGCTATTATACGATTTGCGATACCCAATGGGAACAAATTGTCACTTATTATTGTTGCAGCTTGATTATTGTTGGAACATGTCCGGGATCACGATCTAGCAATCCTCATCTACTCGTTTCGTTTCGGCAAGTCGCTTTTGGTTCGCGTACGTACGCATCATAAAGGAACAAGCGCAGATGAACACGACTATTTGCAATAGAAAACGGGCTCCTCGTTCAGGCGCTCATTTCCAGCAATGTCTGAACATATGACTAAACTTACAGGGTAAGTGAATTACACAACAAACGGCCTTTATACATTGTAGGGCTTCAAATCGTTGATGTAGCTCAGTCTCAAGTGCCCATATACACTTGTTTACCTAGCCCGATTGCGTCGGCGTGCGAGTCCATTCGAGGAAAGACCAGTGTTCTCAATTCGTGTGCCAGTGACCGCACGTTCAGGTCATTCACATCCTGTTGCTCGTTGAATTTACTAGCAGACTGCAAAAATAACATAACAATGCGCTTAACTTGCTGTAGGTTCCACCCGACTTGAACGCACGTACGATTATTTGGCCGAAGATCAGGCGCCGAGCATGATAGAGCTTATAAGACTTATTTTAACAAGCAAGCGGTTAGTGCATTGACACGCCGCTCGAAAAGAAACATTTGCCCATCAGGGAAAGAGCTCAATTATCAGATACAAGGGCACTTCCAAATTGGTACGATGTAAGACAAAGACAAGTTACACGTGTTTGCAAGCAGCACGACATATGTTGGCAACTTTGCTCTCTGTCTGCGCTCTATCGAGAAATTCATTCAGCCGATTGCCTGTTACACGGCGAATCTACCAACACATAGAGACAAAAACAGTTGACCATGGGCCAGAACTTGTAGCGTGAAATGGCGGAGACCGCATCTTGGTCCGCGCAAAGTCTCACAATACAAAAAGATGGGAATCAAGCGTGTTGACATTCCCTCACATGTTTGAGCATATCAAGCGGATAAAGTTCGCAGTGGTGTGCCACCTATCAATGACGTGGCTAAATAATACATTGTCGACGATAAGACGCGAGGCCCTCGTCATGTCTGAAATGGGTTTGCTTGTGCGGCGCTCACTTCGAATAACTGACTTGTGGTTTCTGTGGTTAATCTACGTCGATACCATCGATAATGAAATGACACAACAGATGGACCTCCTGCAATGAGAGGGCAGTAAAGCAGTGTGTCGATATGAAGTGGAACATATGCAACGGATGATACTTGGTGCAGTTCACAAATGAACTTCACATGTCTGGTGGATAGGATGTGATCATCAAAAGCTTCCATTCGCGGGCGGGCAAGACGTTGCGCGCATGTTATAGCTTGGTCTCAGTTAGTGTGGATCGGCTTGTCAAATCTCGTTTTGTCCGTGACCACGAAATCTCCCCTGAAGAGTGGTGAGTATGAACGAATAGCACGCGCTATGATTAATCCAGAAACGCATATCATATCTCAGTGTTGGGCCCAGTAGTATCGCGTCATCCATCATGTCCTCGTAAGTATTTTTCGTTTATCTCTACGATATTTGGTAGCCTATAAGTGTAGCTCGCTTGCACATGGCCACATCATACTGTTGCACTGCATTGATAAATAAATGCTAGGCTTGTGTTGGCTAATGATCACGTCAGCAACTTCGTCATGAAGCCAGACTTGCCTTAACATCTTCCGTTTTGTCATGAAAGTCACGAAAGTCATAATATTGGCTACCTGTTACTTGGCGTGCATGCAAGTCTTCGCATGTGCAACCCTACATTCTTCTACGCTCTTAATGGTCAAGGAAAGTAAGAGAGAGAAAACAGACCACCTGGATGATGTCGGTCACACGCTTATTATTTCATATATCGCATTACAGATCATTCTTCGTCTCAATCCGGCGCTTTAGACTTCAAATTTGGCGGTGGTTTTGGCCTTTTTTACATTAGGCTGCGGAACCGCCACCTTGAAGGTCATATGGTACTGGTGCTGCATTCCCGTCGGAAAAGTCAGTGTTGGCTTTCCACCAGCTGCTCTTCGCAAAAGATTGGATACGATCGATCATGGACTCATGTATCGGCCGTCCGAAACATCGCTATTATTTGCTCCCTACGCATCAACGCGGACCGTAACTTGGGCTTCTGAGATCGAGCTTTTGGAGCGACACCTGTCTGCTTCATCCTAGAGATCATACGCGAATATCTGCGCTGATATATACGTATCGTTCACGCTGCAGTGGCAGCGACGGCGAGCACTGACGCTGTCATCTTGCATAAGATACGGCCTTATCAACGACATATTTTTCATATCCGAAGCGATGATTTGGTTATATAGAGTATTGCGTTCCGCGCCCGTCGATGGTAGACCAGGCGAGGGCGCGTGCGCGGTGAGCAGTCGTCCAGCTGTCATTTTCGGCGTCTATGGCCCTTTCACCGCATTCCTCACTTGCTTGAGTAATGGTCTACTTGAGATCGACGTAACAAGCACGCCTCCTTTCGTGGTGCAATCTTGAATCACCCGATATGCATTGTCAAATAATGATACACGGTTCTAGTGAACGCTATATTAGCGAGCGGGTACCTCTTCCTGTTTCGTAGTTCTTCCGTGCAAGCCGACATATTGCCTCCTCACCAAGACCCCACACATTTAAAAATAGTCGCGATGGAGATCAGCTGAAACGGGTTGTAAAGGCGATTCTGGAATTGGGAACGAACGACAGAGTACATAGGTACGGCAAACCATTTACAGCATTGGATATTGCCAGGACCATCTGGCTTCTCGGGCGTACCGGGTTCGAACTCGCGAAGCCTGATCGTGACATACGCGAATGAAGCGTACGACGTCTTGTCAGATCCCAAATGGTGCTGGTGGCAGGTGTCTGCTCCTTTGAAACGGACAGTGATCGCTTGTTTTGGCCCTTAGCAATTTCGGCAGACTCATTCCACATTTTTGTAGCCTATGAGCAAAACACCTAATGACTCCACTCTGAATGCAAAGTCAATCGCTGCATCGTACAGAACACTCGCTTTCGTGCAATGTATCGCGTGTGGAACAATGCACTGGTAAGCATGCTCTGAATGGCAACGTACAGCATGTGTGACGTGTGTTAATGGAGTTGTGCAGCCGGAAGGTTGCATAATTTGCTGGGACATTGCATATATTTGCAAAACGCCGCTTCCTCGCTATCTCGATCGAAAGTGCTGTTCATTAGCAGTCAATTCTCGCCGAGTCAGGCGTTGCTCATTCGAAACATTCGCCTCTTCGACTTGGGACATAAGGAGCAGCTGAAAACTGTTCTTCAACCGATCGAAAACCGTCAACGTTGTCAATCCTGATGAAACGCTCCCCACATGACTGCTCAGGCCTAAATTTGCACAAGTAGCCAGCTTGTTTTCGTTTTCGTGTTTCATCAGCAGTCCGGGATACTCACTAGTCGAATAGAGAATGAGGAATTTGTAGCCATCATTCCTTTTCTTTTGGTCACTACCGTGTCATTGTAGCGGGTGTAGCAGCCCCATCGTCATCGCTACCCCAGGCATTTACAGTTCTACGTCAAAATGTTGCGCCTCAAGGTAAGCCAGCAACTGCTTTGGATGCCTCGACCAATCTTGTTTTTCGATTTAGTGCCGTGTATACCCCGCTCTTTCTATCGCGACGACTCACTCCTTTGCCGCTCAATGTCGTCACCAAGCAACGTCTTTATCGCACACATCTGGAGCGGATCAGCTCGACGCTGCTTACGGGAGGGCCAAGCATCCGATGTCTCGCTTACTCTTTTGCTGGCCGAACAGTAATCCCGATTATGATTCACAACGATGCATGCATCGTCACACATATATCAGTCACATAACCCACTGCTGCAGCAACCTCAGCTGATGCTTGATATCTTGCGATGCCCTTGCGATATATGTGAGGTATCAGGCTTCTTAGATCATTTACTGACCGCTTGTATCGCACGCTGCAGTATTATGATTGACAGAGAGACAATAGCGGGCCGAGTGTCTGAATCTTGCTCTTGAACTTGAAAGCTTGTAAAACGGACGATAACATTGTACGACGAAGTCACGAGGATCCATTGTTGGCGAGTATAGTCGATCGTCGATTGTACTCTACTCATTTTAGGTGTCCACTTAGTGTAAACACGTTACTTTCGATACATGCAGCAGTCCATATCCTGCGTTTGTAGTCACTCCTGTCCGAGCTCAAATGTCTGACAGCGACCGCAGAAAGTGATGGTGCATGCATCGTATAGATCAATCGTAGATAACGCGTGTTACTTGCTTTACCGTGAACTATGTGGTAGCTGAAACTTCTTACTCCCATACGTGTATGCTCTTCACGCGTTCGTTCCTGCAAACACTAAGAAGCCTCGACTAGTAGCAGTCATCTTGTGGTGAGCCACGAATCACCGTAGTAACGTATCGAGATTTCCGCAGCTTTGCATTCACCTACAGCCGCTATGGCTGGACTTCTACAATGGGCGTTCGTACTTGCCGTGTGGTCAAATGTTCATAGTGGGTCAACTTGTTGCTGTGATGAGCTGGAACATGGTCAACGTGACCGCGTCCTGCATCTCGTCTACGCACTGTATGTTATCGCTCATTGACCTCATTCCTAGACCGAACTTTTCACGTAGCGGTCCAAGGCGTACATAGCCACTGAATCGGGAGCGAGAACGTCGATGTGGAATGCATTCTCTGCCTCGCTCGCACTACTTCCTATCGCAGTGATCTAGTCAATGACGATTATTCTACGAAACAAATGGTCGCCATATCCAAGACTGCGCCAATGAGCTCCATCCTCATAAGGTCTAGCCGCAGCAGCATCTTCACGATCCACTACTGCGACATCGGTACTTGGCGATGCTCGCCGTTCTATTTCATCACCATTCGCTCTCTCGACCTTCGCATCGCCAGCGCTTTGCAGGGGCACAGCCTCATGCACTACTCGGTGACGGAATTCCATCTTCACACGCACTTCCCTCTACAACAGGTACGACACTGGCATCTGCCACAACCTCCGTAGGCTCAACTGCTGGAAAAGGCGCAGCACTATCACACTCTTCCGTGCCGCTCGCTGGATCGAATGTGACATCGTCTGAAGCCTCCTCCTTTACGGCGCCCCCAGACGTCGATTGAAAGGATTCACTGGCTTCAGCATCGACGGCAGAACTCGCTTCGTCCCTTTTGACCATTTCAGTCTTCACGACTGGTTCCACGGCGGATACCACATCCTTTTCACCCTCCAACGGGCCCAAAAACTTACTCTCGACAAGAAAATGCACAATCTGCAGCATCTTCTGCTGCTCGAGACGAACGTCTTTTGCCAGCAGTTTGCGTAAGAGCGACTTCTTCTCATCACGCCACTGCTGCTCCGTAGCTTGTTCCTTCGACGCTTTTACAGAACGTTCCCGTTGCCCTGACAACACGGTTGTATCGTGAGAAAATGGGCAGCGTGTACCCTTGGAACACGATCCCTTGGACATCATAACACGACATCCAAACGTCGAACGATCATGACTGTACTTGCAATTCGCATCAGTAAACCGACAGCGGTCACGCAGAAACCACTTGCACAACACGCTCTTCCGCTGCTTCTTTACAGGCGGCTCTTGCACGTCAGATTTGGCACGGTGCGATGCCGCAGAGTCGGAAGCTGCGCGGCTCGTAGCGGAACTCGCAAGCACCACATGAGCCTTAGCTTCTTCCTCTTCCTCGATTTCGCCGTCTTCCAAATCTTCTTCAGATGTCATCGACAGCTTTCGCTTCCCCGTCAGTGGCCCAGTCGCCAAAGGTGGTGTAGGGTGTCGTGACATGGCAAACCATCTTTTACGACGCTCCTCACGCCACTTTGCGATGTCTTCGGCTGAGTTCCCCACCAGAACCATGAATTTTTGACCTTCCACAACAATCTCTTTCAGCCCTTCACCAGAGTACTGACCATGAGACGTTTCATAATGCGCGGTGACAACCCGCTGACAAGCTGAGAAGTCACAAGCAGAGCAGGTCACATGGGTTTTGACGTGCGCATCGTACTGGGATGCGATAACAAAGCTCTTTATGCATGGCACACACTTCCACAACTGCTGATTCGGCTGCGATTTTAACTGAGTGCTGCTTGCGTACATTCCATGCGACTGCAAAGAAGGCGGAAGCGGGGGTGCTGGACCATCAGGCAGAGGCGGCTGTCCAAGAGACTCATCTTTCGCTGCACGACACGGTTCTTCCTTGCCTCTGGACGGAACATTGATGTGAGATCCGCCATTCTTTCTTGGATCTTGCGGTTTTGTGCTGTGGACAGGAGCCAACTGCTGTTCCGGTCGCGAGACAACACCGAAACGCTGCTCGACAGGAGGTTCAGACCCGTACCGATCATTTTCATTTGCGAAGAGTGGGCAGTGCTGCTTCCAGTGGCCAGGTTGGTTGCAATTGTGGCAGACGTACGTCGGTGGTGGAGTCCGATGCTGCTTGTGATGCTGTCGATCTTGTTTGTCTTGCCAACGATCTTGAAACGGTGGATTATGGTCTCTTGGAAAGCGATGCTGGTCCATTACAGGCAGTCCCTGCTGTTGTTGTACATAGCCCGGCGGTCCACCAACAAACTGCTGCTGCTGTTGTTGCTGCTGCTCGTGTGGCGCGTATTGCCGTTGTAAATGTTCTTGCGGAGGATGATTCCATCCACCGCGCGGATCTTGTGGCATCGGTGGCCTTCGCTGCTCGTACATCGGTGGTAGAGGCTGCTGTGGCTCTTGATACGGAAGCTGTGCCGTACGCGACACGTTCCTGCCAGGCGACAGTGGGCGGAAACTTGCTTGTCTCGCTCGTGCAGTATCTGCATAGTCACTTGGTGGCGGGAAAAAAGGTGCAGCATTCGGCTGCATGAGCTGCATATCGCCCGCGTGGGGACGATTCTCCTGGGGGTACTCGGATCCATATGGTTCTTGAAACGGTCCAGACGGAAGATGCTGTTGTTGATGGTGAGGAAGATGCGGCGGTCGTGGATACTGCTGGTGGTGCCCCGCCTGGGTCTGGAACGGGTCAATGACCTGCTGGAAACCTCCAGAATTGTAGCTCGTGTCCTCTGCACGACTGTCGGCTGTGTAAATCTGTTGCTTTTGGTAGTGTCCGTGAGGATGCTGCGGTGGAGGCGGCTGTTGTTGCTGCGGGTACTGCTCGTGCGGATGCTGATAGAGCTCGCGGTTCGGCTGCGACGCAAACGGCGACGGGAACTCCTGCTCTCTGAAGGGACCTGCTTCACGCAGCAGCTCTTGTCGAGGCGGTTGGTACTCACTGTGCCGTTGCATGTGGTACATGGGTTCATGCGGCGGTGGCGGCGGGTACGATGGCGCGTACCCCTGTACGTACCCCTGCTCTTCGTGACGCTGCGGGTGAGAGCCAAAGCCGCCTCTTCGTCCGCCGCCACGGCCACCGCCACGACCACCACCACGACCTCGTGCTGTTCGTCCTCCCCGTCCTCGGCCACGTCCACGTCCGCCGCCACGTCCGCCGCGAAAGTCGCCGCTGCGCTCCATTTCTGCGATGGGAACTCCTGAAGAAACTTGGACTGACATGGCTACCACCAACCAAAAGCGTACTTAGCCCACCTGCGCCTTCGGGTGCTTTCAGCTAAGTGCGAGGTGAGCGTCAAACGAGGAGTCAGCCCCGGCCTCTTCGGCCTCTGACATTAGACTACGTTATGGACGCAAACTTGTCATTGTCCGTACCAGTCAAACTGGGCGTGCAGGCGCGAGAGCGTCTTGGCTCCTACTGTGACTTCACAGATCAACTTCTGTTTCGATGCTTGCAACGTCGTGAGCTCGAGTGACTGGGATCACTAAGGACCTACGCGGTCTTCGCCCCTGCTGACTCAGTCGCCAGCATATTTACGTGTATGATGTGATGGTCTACTGCACGCCTCTTCAATGCGTCTATTGTGGATTATCAGGCAGATAGGAATGGTGTATGCGCTCGCTGCTTGTTGATTGTCAAATTTACCAAACACGGGCGCGTCACTGTGACTCGATCTCGAAGTAGCTGTAGCAATCGAGATGTCGCCGAGCACGCACCGCGGAGAGCGGATAATCATTTCTCACCACGTGCTAATCTCACGATGCACTTGCTCACTCCATCTAGAACTCAAGTCTTATTTGGACGATGCAGTGCGACTGCAACTGGTCTAGTACCAACATGCTGTGTTGCGATCGTTCTGGCGTGGCGATATGCAGCAGACATTTAGCAATACTTCCACTTTATGTGGTCCATGGCAAGATCTCTTTGCTCTTCTGTATTGCACGTAGAAACTGCAAGAAAGGAGCAGAAGAGAGCCACATCATACCCTGAATATCGAGACTTTCGTGCAAAGATTGAAGCTGTGCGCTCGCTCGCTTGACGTGGTAAGCGTGCTACCCTTACAAACGTACTCGGTAGTGACGGGACGCCGACCACGGCAGTTCTTTGTGTCTTTAGGTGGTAGTTGCGGAGGGACGGCCATTCTTGGTCCAAAACCATTTGAGTGCGGTACCATACCGACAGTAAACTCCAGCCGCCGTACGGCATCAACGCAAAATTGCTAGCGTCTGTTGTGTGCAGTTTTGCTGTTCACGTAAAGCACACAATCTCTTTTCATCAAGTTGACGAAGATCGGTCAGAGGATGTTCATTTGCGACAGCGAAGGTGCTTCGACAAATGACTAATTGGCGTGGCGCACTCAGCACTTGACTGGCTCACGTTGATGGTGCAATGAAAGCAGCCATTTGCCTGGACGGCCTTGGGACTAGCGATGCAATCGACGATTGAAAGCGATCATCGCGTCCGTCTACACCACCTTTGAGTTCGCTAGACACCACTTGGTATCGAGACACTGGTCATTCGTACAAGTGCCAGGAGCTACGCGGGTTAAGGTCTCCAGCTGCATCACATTTTGGTGGCACGACAGCCCTCAACCTTATGACTAGAAGCTTTTATTGCTACGCACCGACTTCCTGCTTGCAATCCAAGCGTGGTCTGGTTGGACCAAGCCGTGAATACAAACGGTCATGATTCCGCAAATGCTAGCTCAGCCGATACAACACATAATGCAAGATACGCTTGATCCAGTATGGCGATTCTCTTGTTCACACGCGCTTAAGCCCGATTCGTGTCGAAATAGTGTGACGAGTATACGAGGGATCAGGAATTGCGTAAAAAACGTTAAAAGAAGTACATTGTTTGTCTTCCACTCGATCGCCCTCATATCGTACAATATACACAACGGACTGATTACAATGCGACAGTATACTCAGCGCTTTGATGCGATGCAAGAAACTGTACAGCGAGATCAAAGCAAAACGCATACACAGGAAATGCGTACTCTTTCATCGCATATTGGGGCTACTGCGGGGCAAAATTGGAGCATGACCTGCAGCCCAGCGACTGGGATCCATCCACACCGACATAAAGTCTTTCTCACACCCCATATTCCGGTATCAAGTAGTAAAAGTGAGGTATATTGAGGAACGATTAGCGACCAGCAAAACCCTGATATTCCGGTATTCAAGAGCAGCGATTGACCAGTGGAAGTCCAAGTGCTACAGCTATTGTCGATTGAACCAGTACCTCCATGAGCCCCGACGAAGGACTAATTAAAATTAAGCGGCAGTGTTGTTCGTAGCAGGAGTACTTCACGCCCGTTGCAGTCAAGCACGTGACTGGTGCGCTCTTGTATTTTTCTTTGTGGATCTTAGTGCTCGAGGCGAACATTGAGAAACTCACAATGCTCAATATTTTTCCGGAAAAGTCAAACGACGAGTGCGGTTTCTTCCATGTCTTTTTTTCACTCAGCCAGTGTTCTCTATCAAATCGGTGTAGAGGATACAATGCGCACCCGATATCCCGTACTCGAATGCAGCGTCGGTGCATTCGAGCATTCGATATACTGAACGAGCGTTTGTGTTTCGGGAGTGTGTCGCTTCTTTCGACAAGATGTGGCTAGAAACATTGTAATACGGTCACTTTAGATCTCCCGAAGTATTTTCATTTGTACCTCACTTTCCAATCTATACTAGAGAGAGTAACAGGCTGTCTAATTGCCTTTACGGTTTACAAGATAGCTGAAAAGTCTCCAGCCGCTCGAGCACCCCTACCGGTGACGTGAGCTGCCGTCCAGGTTCATATCGAGTAACCGGCCGCTGACTAACCGGAGCCCGAAACAGTTCCGTCGCTAGCCGGAAAGATATACAGTCGTCCCCGTCCCGGTTGAATTGGTGTTCCCTGACCGCGACAGCTTGAAGCTGTCGAAGCAGTGCGTGACGTTTTTCGGATTCGGCTTGATCGACTGTTGTTTCCTCGTGCTTGTGCACCCACCGGTTCCTCTGTACCCCATAGGGTGGCGAAGCAGATCGAGCACGCTATCCACCAGATTCGTGTCCAAGCCCTGCATATCTCTTCCGTCGTGTCCGGAAATAGGCGGCCGATCTCCTCTCGGACGCCCGGCGGTAGGTCTGGTGCTGTTCGAGATGACACTGCTGCTTTGTACGCAAATATTTGCGCGGGCTTGACATCCAAACGGGTCCGATGAGCCACAATATACGCCCAACACTTGGCTGCCCCCTCGCAGTCCCAGAGAATATGAATAGTTCCTGCATGCCGTCCGCGGCAAGTCACATAACGTGTGCAGGTTGAGTCTTGTGCTCAGCCCGGACCGTATAGATGTAACTGATGGGTGGCAATCCGGTAGCAGACCCATACCTGGTAGTCCGTTAAGGCGTGTAGGTGAGCCAAGAGCTGTGTTGGAAGCTGTTGCAGTAGTTATCCCGCCCCGTCGGCCGCGTTGACCCCTAATCTATACTATATAAACTTTGTAGCTGGTCAAGACACCGTTTCGCTCGACAATCCACTGAACGAACGTATCGTTTCCACACGATACACTGCGGTGGTTTGATGTTAACTGCGCATTGGCCTTCTTCTCATGTTGCTCAAAAGATAGAGCGGTAGGACAAACGAGGCTGCATTGAGGCCATCACAATCAGTGCGCCACGTCTAAGGGAGATTGCACGATGACCGCGGAGAGTTCGATCCACAGCTTACTCTGAAACGCATCGTGTATCACACATCTGCCACTTTAAGCGACCGCATTGACGCAAAGGACGTTACCCTATTAACGCTGGAGCGACAGCAGAAATACAGCAGTCGCGTTTCAATCGACACTAACGCTCGCTCGACCATGTAAGAACTGATTGAATGACGCCACGGAAAGCAATGGCACGTCTGCTTACTGCTCTGGCTTCAGTTCAGTAGCCCACCTCGTGATTTGTAGTCTTTCAATGGCGTGTCCACTGGCTACGAGCAACGGGGCATAAAGCGACCACGCATGTTTGAACGACACCGGAAGCGGTCTTCACGGCAGCTGAAGCAGGTCACGAAGGTACTAGGCAAAGTCCAGATGTGCGAGCGACAGCCACTAGACGCACTTTACACAGTATTCTTCTGCGTAAGGTGCCAAACTACTGCTAAACACTCCGCTTCACATCTGCATGTCCTCCATAGCACATGACAACGTGAACAGCGCACCGCATCTGTGCTCGACTGCAGGATGGGCGTGAAGACGCTACGTTTGACGCGTTCGATCATGCATTCGATAGCAGCGCTGCTATTTCTGGTGCTAACTGACACACCAACTCGATGTAAACTAAATTGCTACCTAAGCGTTCAAACCATCAGCCTGACCTTCCGACTTGTCCACGCGATCGTTGCTCCTTGCAAGCTGCGTCCTACAAGCGGCTATAGCAGCACAGAAGGGCGACAGAGCACACATGTGCCCAGCCACTGACGCATGCAGTGTAATCGAAAGCAACGTCTCGTCAATTGTTGCACGCAGGACGTTAGTCTTCCTGCGTCTGTCGTGATCCGAGCGAGAGTCATGTACAGAGCAAGACTACCATTCGTTCATAAAGCCCGTTGTTGAAGGCTCACCGGCGCGAGGAATCGTGTCCAGCTGCAAGAGCTTCACGGGGTTGCAGGCGAGACCAACTGTTGACGTGTACTTTTGTATGATGATACTTGTGGGGCACAAAGTCCAGCAGTCCTCATGCTGTTCAAACATCGTCATTACGTTCTTCTGAGCTCCTCTAGCGCTGTCAATTGTGGCCCATCGACGACTTCGTGTGGTTTAGTACGAACATGCCTGGCATTGTATGGAGGCTGGATGTCTTTAGACGCTGGAAGAAGCTTGTACACCACGCCAGCCTAGATTTGATGAAGCGCAAGCATTTGTCGTTGAGAGAACCTCAGGTCAAATGACTGCAGTGTCTGACGAGTCAGGACGCTTGCCCCAAACTGATCCAGTATGATGGAAGCGGCTTGCCCAACCGTCTATGCCCTGAAGTAGTGTTGTCCACGATGTAGTCTGCTAAGAGCCGATAGGGCTTCAACTGTGTGCTGATCTTGCCTCGAGCACCGAGCGCAGCGTTGCAGTCGTTGTCCAGTGTGGTTCAGTCGCCGGGAAGGAAACAGAGTGACCGCGAAACACATGTGATGGGAAATTCAGAACGGGTCGTCACGTGAACGTAGCACTGTCTAGAGTGAGCCGAGCGTAGACGACCGCTTCGGTGCAAAAGAAGCCGAGCCAGCGCTGCCCGAATCTCGACCTCGCACGATGGTCTCAAGTGACTGTAGGGCTGCGCTGACTCGGCCGGTATGTCTCACTTCGTCGAAGCTTAGGCACACTTGCGACTCTGTCGACCTCATAGATCGACACGTCGATACTCCGGTCATCCACTGTCCACACCACTTCCCACTTTGCATTTGCTTGTCTTGTACATACGTCAACGCGGTCATGACCCGGCAAGCGAGTGATGCGAATGACGGCTTTTGCCCCACGACTTGGGCGACAAACGCTTTGCCACCTGTTGAGCTCTCGACGGAGCAGCGCGAAACGTACCGCGTGCTCGCGACTCGATTGCTTTCCAACACGTTGCGGGACTACGACATTTACTCTGCCGATCCCCGACAACGACGCATGAGTCGACGTCGATGGAAAGTTGTCAAGGGCAGAGGTCACATTACAGTGCACAAGGAGCGCCACCCGACACTCTGTCCTCGAGTGAGTCTCATGGATCGAGTGTCCACGGCGTTTCGAAGTGCCGACTGGACAGAGCCAAAGCTGCTCGTTACCACTGGTTGGATCGAAGGCGGCACTCTGGAAGATGTCATGTACGGCGTCGCCTCCCCCGATGCACACGACATGCTGCTCAAAGCGACTGTCGTTGGGAACAAACTGGTCAATGGCGCAGTGCTGGCGTGCATTGACGCTCCGTGCGCTGCCGACCCATTTCGGTTCCTCGGGATAAAATGGTTTGTCAAAGGCCCTCCCTCTGCCCTGCATGGCATCGTTCAACCCCGCGACTTGGTCGTTGTCGAAGGCACGGGAATCACGACGCGATCGAATGGCGAGCGCATTGGCTATCAGCTTCTCCACTCCGTGGACCTGCCTCAGTATCGGACGGTGGCACCTCAGTCGGGCATGGACCTCACACGCGGTCGCATCTCGAGCTGCTCCATCTTCCGAGAAGTCCCAGAAGGTCTGGGCAGTCGACGCTCCAAGGTTGACGTGTATGTCAAGGGGTATGTCGAGGCTCACGGGAAGCTCCTGTATTCGGTGGCGCTTGCAGCAGCTTCAACTGGGTTCATGAGCTCCTGGAACGCAGTCGAGTGCGCCAACCTCAAGAAGCTCATGTGGTGCTTTCGTCAGCGACCGAATGGAGATCAAGGACGGAGGTTGACTCGGCAATCTAGTCAGCGCTCGCACGTGAGTGGCAGCATTAGCTGTTCCAGAAGGAATCGTGACAATGCAGACAGTGGAAGTACGGGTCGTGCTCCTGATCATCTTGAGCCATTGTCGGCAGAATCGTCAAGTAGCTGTGGCACTTGTGCGCAACGACTTGGTAAGCTGCTCAGTGGTGCCCTTCCGTGTTCCCTATGCTGTCGGCTCACTTGTTCGCGCTGTCGAGTTTCACGCACTCTGAAAGAAGTGAATTCCAAGCTGTGGCTCCGACAGAAGAACGTGCTGATTTGCAAGCGGTGTGTGCTGCGAGTTGACCGCCTTGCGTCCGTGGACGTCGCACGGGCTGAAGTCCAGTCCCGACTGTTGCGTATGAAAAAAAGCTGTGCTGACCATTCACACGGACGTCTCCCGATCTTCGCTACTACCGACTCAACAAACGGTCTCAGTGCAACTACCTCAACACGACCAGCAGAAGCAAAGTCTCTACTTCTTGTGAGGGCACCAGCTGCCGATCGACCAGTCGAACCGGTTTGCGGTGCACCACCAGCGAAGACGCTTCAGACAGAATTGTCGTCAGAATCTGACAAGATCATGTTGTCGTCGGACCGTGAGCACCGCGAACAAATCTGGTCGCAAATGGTGGAGCTGCGCATGGTGGCCGAGTCGATTTACAAACTCACGCTCGAGACCACCGAGTCGCTCAACCCACTCGCCTCGGTGCGAACGTGACTGAATGAGACGCTTTGACATCTCTGCGAATGCGGTCTAAACAGCTCTGGACATCCCGATCGTGACTGTTGCGTGGGTCCAAGTTCTCATGTGCAGCGTTTCTGGATGACTGCATCGACATACACTGGCAACTGACAGCGTGGAAAGTCAGACACCGGTTTTGGATCTGTTCAGCGCACTCGTCTGCGTGCATCGTGTTCAAGGACTCAAATGCGTAGCTCGCATTGCTTTTTCGCGTTGTAGCTCCTTGACAGCGGCCAACTGGTGTCGTCGGGCCATACTTGATGCATGCCGGGAGCATGTGTTGGTCCTGAAGACGCGACGAAGAGGTCCAGAAAGGTGCAGATCTACTGTAGCAAATGAGGCGAAGGATGCAAACACGTGACATGCGCACCATTCATCGATTTGGCCTCATCGATTGCCGCTGCAATCGTGAGATGACAAGCGCATTGCGACATGATAGAAAGTCGTCTGCGTCTGCACAAGAAGCGGATGGCCAACAGACTTGAAATAACATCAATGCAGCAATACGTAGATGTGCCACACGTACGCGAGATCGGTCTCGTATGACGGAGCTTCTTCACACGTCGTGAAGATCTTTTATAATGTATCTGATAAGCTATGGATAGCAGTAGCAGCGCTTTCACTGCAAAATGTGTGCACACGGCAACGACTTTCGCCCTCAGATGCGAAAACGCTGCACAAAGACATCATAATGCTGGCAAGATCGTGTACTGTCGACGGTGCATCGTTTCTTCCATATCCGATGAAGCGAAGCCGCAGAGTATGTTGACAGCGCAAGTCAGCTGTTTGCTGTCGATGTTGACATTTGAGGTACGTTTTAGGAACGATTGCGACTAGCAATGCCCTGCTCAGAGATTCGCAGTCATCTCTGGTTTCGCTAGTTATTGCAGCTGATAGTGTGACAGTGCAACGACCGATCGTTTAGTTGTTACTCAGCACTGCAGCTGGCACGCATACATTACCACGTGGTAAGAACATCATTGACTGCAGATCCGACAATGCTACAGTAGACCATTGCCAGAGTGGTTTTCCCCCGCCTTTGATCTTTTGTTGCTTGTCAAGGGCATTCAGGTCAATAGCGGAAGCACATTGAATCGACTTTGCAACAGAAACATCACCGTACCGCCCTATGTCGATTCGGAGCATCAACTGCATTGTAATTCCATTGCAGGCATTCGGTGGGATTTTCTTTTGGCAAAAGTGCTGTAGCATTCTCGACCCACATTTATTGCGTTACAGCACATTACCACGTATAGAATGACACGTGATGACTTGGCAGCACCAAAGAGTAGACACGAGCTGTTACGATCGAATTCGTGAATTCATGGTCATCACGTTACAGCGAACTAGTGTCTGGAGGGATCGACGGATACTGGCAATGCTTGACTAACGTAAAGTTGATTGTACAACCCCATTCTCGCACCCCGGATGCTTGCTCTGGTCCTGGACACGTTGCTCTACACATGCGTGATCGATCAGCTACAGCCGCCATTCGAGAATTACTCTCCAGATCGTCGACCCAACTTATCGCTTGTTTCTCCTTGGCACGATCATGAGGTTCCTCGCACGATACATCGTTGGATCGAGCCAACTTGTTCAATAGTTGACTCTTGCTCTGCGACTGCAGATTTCTGACTGGCATCTTCCGGCCTTCACATTGACTACTACATGTGATCCTCACATTCCAGTCCATTCAAGACATCGAGATGCTGTTTCCGGCAGAACCTGAGCGACGTCATGACTTTTTCCCAACTGATACAGCTCATCACCATTGTTCCCGTATCACTATCCGTGTTAACACGTGATCTCGTTGTGAATGCTGAGAACAGTTGCTGCACCACCTTTAGTGGTTTTACGGGCACATTGACTTCGGCAAGCTATTTGCAGGACATGGTCAACAAAGTGATGCCTGGCTCGAAGCAAATACCCATAGACGTCAGCTGTGATTGAGGTGATTGCAGCTAGATTGTGTGGAAGGGGCGCTATAGCCAAGCGATAGCGTCATAGGCTGCCAAAGCGGTAGAAGCCTTGCCAAGAACGCTCTGCCCGGCAAGGTCAATAACATTCGGTGGCCAATGAACTTGTGCATTTGTCACACCCCGGCGTTTGCTTTTCCAGATGCGCTGAGATGACAGGCAAATGCCCTCGACATTCGATGACCTTCCACGAGCAATCGGGTGCCTGAGGGCACGCATCACTGCTATACGTGAATACACGCCTGTCATCAACTGGCTGGTAAAACAGAGCAAAAGTTGTGACTGCTTACGCAACAAGCTTCGCTTTTTTGGCTGCTTCGACCTTATCGTCTGCTTGGTTCCGCTTCAGCTCTGCCGTTCCGGTAGCGCTTGGACCTGGCAGTTTTGTCACCTGCTCTATCCGTGACGGGGCTGCAGGCGGCGTTGGCTTTCGCCGAAGAAACCTCGATGCCACAAAAGTCAGCGGCAGCGCGTCTTTCGGACCAAACGGACGATACCAGGCATCTGGTGCCCCCGTAGGTAGCGAGTAGGTTGGATACAACCTCATAGTAGTCGATTTGTCCTTTTGCTGCGCACATGCTTCGCACGTGATGCGCTGCGTTGTTGACTTTGCTTCGATATGAACGTTCTTCAATGGTCGATTCTCACTGCTCTTTCCTGCCGTGTCGTCTCCTGCCAGAGCGTTCCATTTGTCCACCTTTGTCCCGTCTTGTGCCCCAGCTTCGCCTGCCCTCAGCTTTGACTCGGCAGCTGTTGCTCTGTTAGTAGCGAGTCGGGCATTGATTTGCCCCGGACTTTGGCCAAACTCTTCCGCATCGGAATCCGGCAGCAGCTCCGTTCCGGCTTTCGACTCGGCGACTTGCCCGTACGCCAAGAACTTCCACACCAATTGACACTCTTGAGGCGGTATCCAAAGCCCGTGCGTCGTCTTCAATGTCTCGGCCACGGCACCCCATCGGATACATGCTGCCACACACAGTGAGCCACGAGCAGCAAGAGCACAACATACACATAAGGCACAGCATTAACCTTGTGAGTGCCACTCAAGAACCTCCTTGGCCTCTTTAAAGCAGTACATTTATCGAGGCATGTATACGTATACATCTGGCATTTGTTGCTCACCTGGCGACTTGGGCTCATCCAACACGGTCAGCGCCAGTGTCTGTGTTTTCAGCTGGCTTAGGATTACTTCACACAGTACGGCACAGTCACGACTCGAGTACCTCCCCAGCACTTTGCCGTTCTGGCGAGGGTTACCACTGGGGTACGTCAAGTGTACCCCTCGCTGGTATACACCCGAGGTGCCTGAGGTATACGAGGCCGTTCGAAACCTTCGACACTGTGGTTCAGTGGGTCCAAAGGGATCGACAAATGGGACAATTGGCACGGGACGAGACGCCGACGAGGTCCCTGTCGACGGCAAAGGCAGTGCTGGCGGTGCAGTGGGGGGAGCGCGTCGGCGCTGTACGCGACGGGGGGCACTGACTGGCGCCTGCGCGAGTGTCTCTGAGGTCGAGAAGGCGGCGGCCTTAGCGCTGGGCTGGTGGTCCCGCTTGGAGCGGCGCGGGGCGGCTTCCGAGGGGTCCATTTTCGTCGAAATTGGGTCTTTGTGGCGATCAGCGGAAAAAGTGACTCTTTTCGTATTGCTAAGTAGGAGTGTACAAGAAGCGAAAATATCGGGACAACGCGCGCGCTTTCTCGGCTGATTACAAGTTGTAGGCTCTATTTTACGAGCTCGTAAGAAATCGTCGACCCTATTTTGTTAAACACGTCTATTCGAAATACAGAGGTGTGAGCAAAGCGCGTACTACCCGAGAGAGGTTACGGTGGTTTCTGCTCCGTCCTGACCTCTTGAAAGTCGATGCTCCTCGTAACTTGATGAGCGTGGGAAATAGCGCCACTTGTCGCAGGTCGCTCCACTGCTTGTCCTGAGGCTCTGTCCTATTATGTGGAATCGATTGCGGGACTCAGTAGTCCGTCTGGTACTTCAGCCTGCGAGGGCGACGTGATGAGTGCAACATGTTTTATGGATCCCACTACGTATGCATGCAGTCGTATGCTGGCCATAGTAGTCGTGACATGTAATGTCACAAACGACTGTCACAACGCACAAGTCGGGTACTCAGCCCGCAGAAGAGGATACGTATTGCGACCGCAGGATCGCACGTGGCAGTTCTTTTTGTGTGCCTCGATCAGTCGTATCAGCGGTAAGCTTGCACATAGCAACGAGTAGCTAACAGTGATGAACAAAGGAGCGTGTACGCGGAGACCGATTTTGCTGTGTACAGCATGTCGGATTTGAAGGCCTCGACGGGAGGACTTCAACCAAGTGACGGTGCATGTAGGCCCATTCGCATCTAGATGGAGGAGCAAGGCTACTACTCATGGGGCACAATACATTTCGTCCCATCCACTACTGAAAGAGGTGGTCAGTCCTTGTCGAGTCTCATTCAAGTACGAGTACGTGTTACACAGACCACTCAGAAGTGCAAGGTCTAGACAGCCATTTCGTGCTCTATTTGCGTATCGAGAAGGGCGTTTGCGTCTAGTCATAGACACGTACAGCCGACTCGAACATATATGTGGAAGCCCGGATGCATTACAAGCGGATCAGCTGTTAGATGCAATAAGCGAGTTCATTCGCCTGTAATTGAAGGGTGTACAAGTGTGTTCACAGAGACTGAGGTGGACTCGGCTACAGGATCAGGAAAAGCTCGTAGTAGCGCATACCAATGACCGGCGCATATATCTTCGTAGCACGGTGGTCTGTGCCGCAAAGGTGTACACGTGCTACTAAAGAGATAGTTGCACATTATTGAACGACTCGTAGTTCACCATTGAAAATACGAGTACGACGACGTCGAAGCTACTCCGGCGGTGTATGTGCCCTATACCTGTTGCGAGCAGTCCATTGGCTGAGGTAAAGAGAGGATCGTTTGCGAATCAAATGTTGCAATAAGTAGCTTTTATCGTCTTACCAAGGCGTTGACACACACGTAAAGTCTGCCATGCTAGCGCATGAGATTTTTAGGTCGCCAAAGGCTTCATAAAGTGGCACCTCTCAAGCACTTTCGTGTTGATGTCCAAAGCCAACTGCAAGCTCCACAGGTAGATCTTGTATTCCGTCGTATGGTAGGGGGTCCACGAAAACATTCGCGCATCATGAAAGTTCACAGCGAAGATCTCGATCAAATCGTGCTTCATCGCGGGCCTTTGACCAGTCTCCATTAAATCAGTTGGGAGTGCGGTCTGTGCATGACGAGGACCATTTAGAATCAATTGACCATCTGCACGACCAGGTAAAACCTTTGGGATCCTTAGAAGGTCAGTTGCAATAGATAAGTGGATCTTCGCACAAGAGTGGCTGTATCAATGTTCGAAACGGCGAGATTATACAAGATTGAGGTTTTCGGAAGACAGAATCGCCAGTGTGATGACACTGACGATGCTGAACAGTTTGTCTTCACCTTTGCTGGACTAGGCTCACATAGTGATGTGTCGCATCTGCTTATTACTGATATGATCTCGCTTTCTGTCATCATCAAGAGCGTCAAACACAACAGCGCTGCGACTGAGCACTACTTTTCGGATGCGCTGTTTTGCTTACAGGAACGCAGAAGACCTGTACGCGAAGTGATCACCTATCTTAGTACTTTCGTTGTTGCTCTTATGCTTCACAGATGAAGTGCAAGTGCATTGAACCCGCAATGTTCAACGTTAGGTACGTTGTTTATCCTCGTTAAAAGGTGACGTCAAGAGACCTTTGTTACTGTCATTTGCATATCAAACAAGTGCGCCTATCTTAGCTATCTCGGTTCATGCCGCAGTTCTACGACGACGTTTTTTCGTCCAATGTTGTATGCTGATGGGCCACGTTCGCAGAATTCTCGTTGGCTTGCTTTTTGCACTGGATACGTGTCGTTTCGGTACAAACTAGCAATAGGTAGGAAAGCAAGGATTCTTGCCTGCAGTGATCGCTGTAACTTGCATTGATGTGATGGCTGCTGATGTGGGTGGCCAAGTCGCGCAAGCTATTCTATGTTTCTGTGGCTGCTTTGGACTATAAACAAGATGTCTAAACTGCAGTTCATCTTCCAGGTGACTTATCGAGTCATCTGTAAGATGAACTGCATCTTGGACATGAGCATAGTGTAATATCTCAGTGCCGACTAATCCATTGTGTGGTGTGCTACGAACATCATGCACCCTGCCTACTCCAAGTGCGATTCTTACTTGTGATCGCTCTCACCGCTCGATTCCAGGTCTAACTCGGTAAATGACTTGACAGGTGACGTAGTTGTGACCTAACTGGACATAACTTCGTCCGTGGCGTCAATTTATCTTAGCTTTGCATAATATAGCTGATCTGGCTTCCTGACATAAATAAAAGGTAAACATACCGTTTTCCGAACGACCTGTACGCGAATTTTGTAATTTGACTTCCCACCGAGACAACGTCTGACGAAAGACTAGAAGGGGCATATGGTTGCGGCAGTGCGTGCAATTTGATACGGGTTGGTAGTGATGTAATCGATAACCTTCGGCGTATTCAAGACTCATCACATGAAAAGTGCATAGAATGGTAGTTTGATTTCGATAATCTAGACAATCGATGTAAATTTGTAATCAACAATGTTCAGTAGGTTTCTATTCCCTTCCAAGCTCATTCTTGTTGGTGCATGCGCTTCTTTCCTGCAACTGGTGTTCATGAATACTTGCAGCACGTTACTTAACTGCCATGAGTGTAAGCATAACGTGCCTCTTCCGCGCTGTGTGTTGTCCCTTTATGTATAAAGGTCGAAGTAATAATCGACGTGGGCTTACTTTGCAATATTTGTGGTAACTGTCGATCAAGTGTACGATATAGCGTGCTGATAGTTGCGTATTACACCTTTTGATCGTACTGATTAGCTAATGCGCCGCCTGTACTTCGAACAACGAGATCGACCGTTTTTCCGAGCAAGTCGCTGCGAGAAGATCTTTTGCGATACGCGAATTGACTAAGATGCGCAGTATTTCTGTATCATCTCAAATCAATCGGGTCGGTGCTATCGCCGTCAAGACCTCCAGCTAGTGGTTAGAATTGTCATCGAAAATTCGCAATTCGAGTGGCGGCATTGGGCTTCGACAATTGGTGATCGCCGACTGAACTGCACGTGTCCATTGTATGGTTTTTGCGCTAGCTGCATGGTATTGCATCTTGTTGTTTACTTGCGGTAGAGCTACCTATCGCTTAGAATCATGTTTGTCTTTCTATTTGTTTCAACATCAATCAGCCGCATGCGCTCTGCTCACAGAATTTGTGCGTACGTCTGATAAGCCTCTAGTCACTATATGCCGGTGTAGCGTCAGGTAAGACAAGTCCATCTTGACGCGCCTAGAAATTGATCCTTCCATTAGTGCCTCCACATCAGTCTGGAAGTACACGATAGACGATTCGTATAATACGTGCTTATTGGGTGTGGACGCGGTTGACGAGTTTTGGCAGCACGTCAGGGATTGCAGCGCTGATAGTGTGTGACGAAGGCAAGACCGCTGGAATCCGCGAAGGCTTGAGAGTCGTGTGGTGTGCTCAATTGCACCTGGTATAGGCATACTAACGTGTCGCGTCGCGCCTGGGAAGGATATGTACAGGCAGGAAACACGTGTAAGGAATGCAGTACGTATATGAATTCACATACAGCAAGTGTAAAAGTAGGGGATAAGACCTAGCAAGTCTTGTGTCTTGCGAATTTAATCGGCATTTATAGAGGTAGTAGAGAAAGAGCTGAAGAGAAATGCATCGAAATTCTAGTGAGAAGCTCTTGTTGCGATCTTAACAAAAGCGACAGTCTAGGAACAACGACTACGCTTGTGATGTCGATGACTGCGTCTTTGTAAGCGTCATACGAACGATTGATCGGCTCAAGACACAACTCGAAAGTGATGCTAAGGAACTTCGTCCAGCTTAGCTGCAGTGTGAACATGAAGTCAGTCTTGTTACGGCACGCTTCGTGCTTTTCTAGGATGGTCCATGCGGTAAGCCTGCAGGTGCTGTTGGACGGGATGGCCGGGTCATTGGCTTTCGTTGCCGACAGTGATGTATGTACCCATGACTCAGAACGTCCTCACCGATCGTGCGCGTCCGGTTGCCAAGTCTGAATGCCGGAGACGCTGTCGATCTAACCACCTCATGTCATTTCCGCCGTTCGGTAATCACACAGTGGCGAGACGCTTATCCATTTCCATGGAAAAGTCGTTGGTCGTTTACTTACAATGAAAGGAATGCCCATCGATCAGCTGGACCACCGGTCATGACGGGCTGTTGATACGAATACATAACGTGTCTGGCAAACATTGCCGAAGGTCTAGCGTTCTATTGCGTCTATGGTCTGACGCGATAGCTCGATCTCGTCGTCAAGAGGCTAGCTTTGGCAGGATTCTGGATAGGGTCGACTTCCCATATGTGACGATTCTAAAGACGGTTGCTCGGTGTTTCCACCATCAAGATAATATGGTACGACGAGGAGGCAGCAAGTGTCGTGCTACAGTAGGCCCATGTGGTCTTTGCTTCAAATGGTCGTGCACCTCAATCCGGGTGATTCATACGCGGCAATATCGACTGACATCGATGTATTCTCGAGGTGCTACTGAGGTAGCTGCTCGCGAACAATGCCGAGCTGTGCAATGCTATTATGATGAGGAAGCTCACCCATCTATGCCATTAAACGGCTGGATGCTGGTGGCTACGATTGCTTACAGCCTTGTGAATAGCGTCGACACCCGCGCAATGCTCTTCAGTGGTATATCGGACGTAGTGTCTGCGCAGTACGAGAATCTCGATGCTCTGCTGAGCAGCTGATAGCACCGTCTCGACGCGTGTCTGTCGACCACCTTCTTCACTCGCAATCTAGTGATCTGAAACGTGCGCGATATTATATAACTGTACATCGTTACGTCCCGAGCAGAACCCAGCGGCTGTTGCGTCCCGTGTCCCGTCAACACAAGACCACGAGGGTCGTCGTTCCTCTAATACTTCAATTGCAACAACCAACAGGTCGTGGTCCTAAGTTCGAGCGGCCTAATCCTCATCCCACATACAGTACGCGACTGACTTTCTTTTGCGTGAGCAAAACACGAGTACCCCCCCCCCACTCACTATTCCCCTGCACACCGCGCGCTTCTTTCTACTGGCTGAAACAAAAGCCGGTCGCACGCAACGCCATCCCTTCATTGGCTATAACTCAGCCGCAACAACCCCCCGACTATCAACCAATCCGCGACTGCCACCGTCGCGCCACCGCCCGCCGTCCGCCAAACGACATCCCCAGCAGCTCCAAATGGTGCGAAAGATCCGCTGCGTCCGCCGCCGCCTCCTCCTCTGGCGGCTGACCCTCTGACTCACTCACTGACTGTTCATGTGCTCTGTCTGTCCGTGTGCTCTGTCTGTCCGCCTGCTCTGTTCTGGTCGTTGTGCTCTGTTCTGGCTGTTGTGCTGCTGCTGCTGCCTCTCTCTGTAGCCGCTCCGTCTCGACATCAAGCGCAAGCTCTCGTCCCGGTCCGAGCGGGTCAAGAGCGTGGACCTCCACCCGACCGAGCCCTGGGTGCTCTCGGCGCTCTACTCGGGCACGCTCATGATCTGGAACTACGCGACGCAGTCCCTCGTCAAGACGCTTGAAGTCTCGTCGCTGCCCGTGCGCAACGCCAAGTTTGTCGCCCGGAAGCAGTGGGTCGTCGCTAGTGCCGACGACATGCAAGTGCGCGTGTTCAACTACAACACGATGGAGAAAGTCACGACGTTCGAGGCCCACAGCGACTACATTCGCCACATTGAAGTGCACCCGACGCTGTCGTGCTTTCTCACGTGTGCCGACGACATGACGATCAAGTTGTGGGACTGGGACAAGCACTTTGCCTGCACGCAGGTGTTTGAAGGCCACGGCCACTACGTCATGATGGTCAAGTTCAACCCGAAAGACGCACACTCGTTCGCGAGCGCGTGCCTCGATCGGACCGTGCGGGTCTGGGGCTTGGGCTCGAGTCACGCACACTTTTCGCTCGATGGACACGAACGAGGCGTCAATTGCGTCGCTTACTATCCAGGTGGCGACAAGCCGTATCTGCTGTCCGGTAGCGATGACCGGACAGTGAAAGTGTGGGACTACCAGACGAAAGCTATTGTCCACACGCTCGATGGACATGGCAACAACTTGACGTCAGTGATGTACCACCCAAGGCTGCCGCTGATCATTTCGGCTTGTGAAGACGGTGCTGTGAGGATGTGGCACTCGACGACGTACCGCGCCGAGACGACACTGAACTATGGCATGGAGCGCAGCTGGTCGCTTGCAGCGCTACCGTCGGCCAATACGCTGGCGATCGGCTACGACGAAGGCACGATCGTGCTGAGATTAGGACACGACACGCCTGTCGTGAGCATGGACGCCGGTGGAAGTGGAAAGCTCATTTGGACGAGCAACAACGACGTCCACACTGCTAGCGTGAAGGGCGTGGTGGCTGAGATGGGTCTGCAAGACGGCGAAAAATTGCCGCTCGTGTCGAGAGACTTGGGGAGCTGCGAAGTATACCCGCAAAAGGTACAGCACAACAGCAATGGCCGCTACGTGGTTGTCTGCGGCGACGGCGAGTACATTATCTACACGGCTCAGCAGTTGCGTAACAAGGCTTTCGGTGCTGCGCTGGACTTTAGCTGGTCGCCTACTGGCACAGGTGATTACGTGATACGTGAGAGCGTATCGAAGCTCACGCTGTTTCGCAATTTCAAGGAAGTGAAGAGTGAGAAGCCTCGCGTGCTGTCTGCGGAAGGCCTGTTCGGGGGCACTGGTGCCATCGGCGTCAAAGGCAATGACGCGGTTGCTATGTTTGATTGGGAAGAGCTACGGCTGATTCGTAAGATTGACGTGGTGGTCAAAAACATGTTCTGGTCCGAAAACGGCAGTCTCGTCGTGCTTGCGTCCGAGTCGAGCTTCTTCGTGCTCCGATACAACAAGGAAGTGGTAGCACAGGCTTTTGCTGCTGGCACGAATACGCCCGAGGAAGGCGTTGACGGCGCGTTCGACCTGCTGCACGAAATCTCTGAGAAAGTGGGCACAGGCACGTGGGTCGGAGATTGCTTTTTGTACACCAACGCTGGCGGCAGACTCAATTACTACGTTGGCGGTGAAGTCATGACGCTTGCCCACCTCGAGCAAAAGATGTACATCCTCGGGTACCTCCCGCGGGAGAACTTGGTGTTTCTCATGGACAAAATGAAGAATGTGGTGAGCTACACCGTTTCGCTGGTCATGCTGGAGTATCAGACTGCTGTGGTGCGTCGTGACTTTGAGAGTGCAAATGCCATTTTGCCAAAGATTCCGGCCGATCAGATGGACTATGTGGCTCGATTCTTGGAGTCACAGGGCTTCAAAGAGGAGGCTTTGGCGCTAAGTACTGATCCTGACCAGAAGTTTGACCTCGCCGTACAACTTGCAAAGCTCGACGTGGCCCGTGACATCATGCTGCAGGAGATTGACAAGGTGAACGACGGCAAGGACGTGGATATCGAGACTCAGCACAAGTGGAAACAGCTGGGTGATCTCGCTCTCAACGATTGCCAACTGGCGCTTGCTGAGGATTGTGCGCTTCGCGCCGACGACTTTAGCTTACTGCTGATTTTGTACACAAGCCGCGGAGACAAGGACGGTCTCGTTCGTCTTGCTGGACTTGCTCGCGAGAAGCGCCGCTATAACATCGCGTTCATTTGCTGGTTGTTGCTGGGTAAAACTACCGATTGTGTTGAGGTGTTGAAGGAGACGAAGCGTTTCCCGGAAGCCGCCTTCTTTGCTCGCAGCTATTGCCCATCTAAGATGCAGCTGGTAATGGACAAGTGGCGTGAAGACCTAGCTGCAGTCAGCTCTCGTGCTGCCAAGGCACTGGCCGATCCCACACGTAATGCTGCTTTGTTTGAGAACTTGGAGCTTTCCATGCAGGCTGAGGAGATGCTTCTCGCTCAGAGCGGTGGCGAGGAGACTACGACTCCTGCATCATCATACGCTGCAAAAAAGGAATTGCTGGAGAGCGAGAACATTCTTGAGTTGATCTTGAGTGGCGGCGCTGCGGCGGCTTTTGCTGTACGTGCTAGCGAGACGTATATCGACAGTGGCACGTTTGGTGCAGAAGCAGAAGCTCTCGCACAAGCTGAAGCTACAGCGCGAGCTCAGGCTCAATCTCTCGCAGAAGCAGAGGCAGCGGCGGCAGCTGACGTTGACGCGCAGGCATATGCGGCAGCACAAGCAGCCGCGGCTGCTGAACTAGCTCAGGCGCAAGCTGAGGCTCAAGCGTTGATGGAAGCCGAGGCTCGAGCTCGCGCAGAGGAAGAGCGGCAGCTTTTCGAGGCTCAAGCCCGTGCTCAAGCTCGCGCAGAGGAAGAGCGGCAGCTTTTTGAGGCTCAAGCTCGTGCGGAGGAAGAAGAACGGCAGCGTGTCGAGGAGAGAGCCCGGGCAGAGGAAGAGTGGCGGCGTGCTGAGGCCGCAAAACGTGCTCAAGCCATGCAGGAGGAAGCAGCTGCCGCCGCTGAAGAGCGAGCTAAAGCAGAGGCTGACCTACAATGGCAACAGCAACAGTATGGTGGCATGATGACGAGTAGCCTTGGCAGTGCCGATGGAGGGTTGGATCTTGCCCCGGGCTCCCATGGGTCGGCGTATAGCAGTCAGCATACGTTACCATCCTCCCAGCATCTCGGCCAAGGTGCGACTACTACGTCAACGACAACAACAACAACGACGACGACGATGACAGCTGGCACCACTGGCGAGCTGTTGGATTTTGAGCTGGACAACGCCGACATCCAGTTTGAGGACGACGACGACGACGACGCTGACTGGGGCGAAATGTAGCTCGGTCAGCCGCCAGTCAGCAGTTGGTGCAGCCTCGTAACGTGACTTAATATCACACTTGAAACCAGCGCCTGTCGCCGTCTCCTCCATCACTTGGAACGTGTGTATGTCAGCGTCTACTGAAATGACTCGACGCAGGTGTTGCCGCCACTTTCAGCTTTTAGTTCTTGAGTATTTTTCCATCGCGCCGCAGTAACGAAGCGGTAGTAATGGCCGATCGAAGCTGGAACTGACAACAGGTGGAACCGTCAACATGACGTGCAAAGGTCGCTCTACGCAGTCACGACAGAAGAGAATAACACCAAAGCAAATACGCTGCACGTGGATGTTGTGGTCCCATGATCAAGTCTATTTGTCGCAATGGTTTTGTGCTATTGTCGTCCAGAGCTGTCGAAACCACTGCACTCACAACACGTTGCAATCGTTCCAGTCGAGAAACAAACGCCGACTGACCTGCCCTCTCGTCTACATGCGACGCCTGCTTCAGCAAGAACTGCACTGTTTGTTCGCCAGTCAACACTTCGATAGGGCAGTGCCATCACACATGTATGTACCTGTCCGACTGCAGCCACAACGACTCGCAAACCGCACAGAGCTTCACTTCCGTCTTCGTCTTGTCAAACAGGCGTCACAACAAAGCAGCAGCCTCCTATCGTCTGCCCCACACTTGACACCGACATCCGTCGGCTCTGCTTCAGCCTAGCCGCACCACTACAATCAGAACCAACAGACCCCAAGTGAGTTCCCAGCATCACATCTTCACCCCATCATCATCAACGCAGCAGCAGCACAACAGCAGCAGACAAACAGCAAACAAAGCAGCAGCAGCAGTAGAATGAGCAGCTCACATTGCGTCTCGCAGAACTCCTTCAGTTGGGGAACGGCACGAGCCGATAACGTCGGGTAGACGTACGTGATGAGGCAAAACAGCGTCCGACCTCCTTGCACCACTTTGCACACGGCAATCCCTTCCCCTTCCTCGACCGACGGGTCTCCCCGACGCCCGTACACAAGTGGCGGGTGGAAACTGCAGCGTGCAGCACAAGTGCCCCACAGCACAATTAGTCGTTTGTGACCAACGTCAGTTTCCACTCTGCTCGACACGGTGTCAACATGTGAAAAACAAACAGCTGCGACGTCGTACCGGTGCACGTCGTACTGCTCGTTCAGCAGCACAGTGCCAGACGCCATTGTGTCTTCCCGCTTGTGGTACAGTTTGACCAGACCGCTGTCGACAAAACGTGCGCATACAGAGAGAGAGAGAGCCATTTGACCACAAATAAAAAACATGCCACAAATACGTCAGCAGTCAGCCAAGCGGTAGGCTAAAAATAGACTTTCATACAAAACACAAGAGGCCCATTTGACCACGAGCAACATACGCGACCTCGCCGTCCAGCGGCTTTATGTTGCTCAACAGAACGTTCGCGTCCCCGTCAAAGATGATATGCTTCACCCACTCCTTGTGCGACTTGACCAGCTCGTGCAGGCGCGCCAGGGACACTGACGGCTCACCTGCGGTCAGGGCATGCGCTGTCTCGTCTGCAGACGAGCTGTCGTTGCTCGTCGATGCGTTCTGAGGCGACTGCGAGCCGGTAGAAGCGCCGGCGCCTCTCGATGTGCTGCTGCTGCCTATTGGTGCGACGTCCATAGCAGGCGAGTCGTCGGATAAACTGAGCTCTTGGGAATTATCGGATTTTCAGGCGGTTGCCGGTTGAGAGTCAGACGTTGTCGTCACGACGACGGAGGTCTCCGCCTGACACTAAAAAGGTCCTGTTTTGTCTCCAGGAGACAAATTGGAAGTTTTCATTTGTTTGGACAAGTAAGACAGACGCGAGGGGTACTTTTACAGGAGGGGGTACACTTGGTAGCATTTGGACACCATTCACACCGGTAGCCGCAACACACTCACCATCGATTGGCTGATATAGCTCTGAGCAAGCACATGGCAACACTCCCGACTGACTCTTTTTACCGCGTTTTCCAATACCCCTTACTAACTGTCTATCACCCGATCCACTAACGCATTCCGCCCCGTTTTAAAACCTCATCATCGGCTCACCACATACTGTTAGATATACCTTTTGCAACTACACTTTCGTTCGCGGACACCGACGAGTCTCATGCTTGGGCGCAGACCGCCGGGTGTTGACACCAAATGGCACTTCGTCAAGACGCTGCAGAGCAAATACGAATTGCTGTTCAAATAGGCTGAACATTTTATACAGAGATTGATTGGAGTGCATTGTGCTCGCGGCACATGCACCATTTCCCTTTCTCTATTCTATGTGCATCAGTGAAGAAGAGGGCAGAAAACAACACTGAAGGAATATTTTGGCGGCTCAAAAAAAACCACGCGCGCGGGCGGGCAGGGGGGGTCGGGGAGGGAAGGGAGGGAAGGGAGATAAAGAGAGGGGGGGGGGAAGAAAGAGGGGGGGGGGGGGGTTCCCCCCCCCTTTTCCCCCCCCCCCCCTTGGGGGAAGAAATGTTTTTTTTTGGTCCCCCCTAAAAAAAAAAAAAGAAAGGGGGTGGGTGGGGTGAGGTTGTTGAAAACACTATTGCGCAAAGAGCACCCACAAGCGCCGATACGTGGGTGGCTCCAGCCAAGACACGAATCGGCGAACATGCATGTCATGGCACCGAATCAGTGTCGATTCTTTTGAGTGCCAGTGTTCGTAACACGTACTGCGTTTTCCAAGTTTTGTAGCTCTTTGCACCTCTTTTGCCTCCTTCGCATCTGCTCTGGATATCAACAAGAGCAGCTGCGCTCTATGTACGATGTGGTTTATAATGTGTTGTGCTTAGAAGTGTGCAGTGCATCAAGTGCTCATGTTGACAATTTGTCTCGATATGGGTGCGAGGCTACCAGTACGAAAGGCGCGAGGGTACCGGCACAAAGAGTGGATGGAGAGGCAGAGCGGGTGTGCAGATATCCATCAACACACGTGTATGCTATTGCACGGCAGTTTCTTTGCTCGACGGCCCACGAAGTAGCTCGTTTTCACTGGCGGCATTCCAATCTGTTACATTTAATTCATTACAGGCCGAAGAGAGAATCTGATGGCGAGTGTGCAAGATGTAAATGCCGCGCTATTCGGCAAACACTTTTTATGCATCTGAGTGTCGGAATGTCAGTAAGTCACGCACATGCACGCACGTGATTGCCTCAAACGATCGCGTGCGAACAGCGCAAGTGAGCAACAGTGCTCGACACTGGGGGAAGCGAAGGTCTCGCATCCACGACATCACAACATCCGCAACAAGCAGTAGCAGTAGGACTGAACTATGTGTATAGGCTCGAAACTGAGTAGTAGGACTGGTAGCTTTTATCCTTTGTCGGACACCATTCCCCTATCCCGCTATACCGGCAGTCCGACGGATGTGTCGGTGCTGGGGTTTTCTGTCTTATTGCGTATGCACCAGAGTTCGGCAAAGTGCCAGGGGGGAAGCGATGCCATTTGGACAGGCGCCGTGCACAGAGCTCTTGCGTCTAACTCACCTTTTCTTCTCGTATGACCTCTACAGTTGATCATTGGAAAGGTGCAGTCTCAGACGAGTTGGTTTTGGCTGACTGGAAGTGTCTGCACCTTCGCATTTTTCGTCTTTCCTTCCCTGTCATATTGCAGATCGATGAGCTCGACGCGTGGCGGTGGTAGGATCTCAGTGGCGATCTTGCCGATCTATGGACACCAGTATGCGTGTGTTGTGTTCAACGAGCATTGATGCATGACTCAAGACACGAACAATACGCGTATTCCAAGTCAGCGCTCTTCGAGAACCTGAAATCAACGACTAACATGCAACAACCTGGCACCGGTGCGGCAGTACGACATGCATATCTCTATCAATATCCGTACTTTTTGCACAACAACAAGCAAGAAGTTTATTGTCACGCTGTTGGTCGCGACCAACAGCAGACAAAGCTCGCAACCTTTTTCCTCCTCATCGATCAAGTCCGTGTCTTCGATCGCAGGTTTGCTGTTGCTTGTGAACAGACGACCATAGCCGTCATCTTCTTTGGCTTTTGCTCTTCTCTTCGACACATTATCAACACCAACGAGCTGCCTCACCACACACGACAACTACAGGAACTCAGTGGTCATTACATCTCACAACGCACAATCCGTCTTTCCGTCGATAGCCCATACTTCCGAAATGGGTACGTGATCAGTCAAACTTAAGTCCGCGCTCTGTAATGGATCACTTACATCAAAGGACGAGCTACATGGATTGGTCCTCTACCTTACCTTGGCCGAAGTACTATCGGCGGTCGGCTCTGGCTCTGAGCATCTGGATACGGAATGTAGACTTCATCCATATTTTGTCGCACTGTAGTGACTTTTCGCGAAAGCGACAATCACAAGCTCGCGTCACGGGCGACGAATAGCTGAACGGGCATATGCTGATCCCACGCTCGTGCACCCGATCCTGTTTGTAGAAGCTCGTCCGCTACTAAGCGGTGAAGCGACGGGTGTAACGAAGTACCTGCGCTTCTGCTGCAAACAGCATCACCTGATCTACACTTATACCAGCGTCGACCGTGTAATTCGAAAACGCATGTGCACGGCAACGTGCAGAGGAGGCGCCGTCGACTGTAACAGATAGCTCCTTCCATCGAAAAAAGAGCTGTATCAGCTGTATCGATGTACAGTTGAGTCGCACTACCCTTCTTTCTGAGACCTTTCGTTGCGAGATTAAACAGCAAGCATGTATGTGACCTTCTTGCTGACCCTCACTGCACGCGTGTAGCGATGAATCATGGTTTGCTGACTGATAGCAAGGCCAACACCGGGAGGTGGGATGGGCAGTGTGCTGCTACTGATTCATACCTGCAAAGCTCATACTTCTCCATCTTACGCGCTTCGAGTAATGTTGCTGAGATCTGTCTGCTACAACGCTTTCACATTGACTTCACAACTCACGTCACGGTCATGTATGGGGATGATCCCCCGTTACATACACGCGACTCGCAACAGAACCTTGAACTCCGATTCCGGCTCAAAAGCGTTAAACACAGAGCACATATTCTCAACGACATGACGGTGCCGGCAGCGTTATGTCCAGCGGTGGAATTGAGCTCTTGCTATGGGCGAAACAAAAGGTCGTGACCGTCATGAATAACCATGTGGCGCCACTCCAGCAGTACAGAGTCTCATCGCCATGAGATGGATCGAGAACGCTATTGCATGCGCCTTGACAGCATATGATGTCGGGATGGCTCCGCTACGATTGTCTGCACGCCACAGAGAGCGACACATGCCATAATATGGCTCACTCGAAGCAAAGATATGCACACATGTACAAATGCTTTGTTTGCATGCGTATGTAGTCCGGGGAGCAACACAAAGCTGGACAGGACGAGCGTTTCTATCCGTAGGGACGGAAGTAGCGGCTTTCGAAAGCGCGTATCACCCAAAGGAGGAGTACTCTGAGACGGAAGCAGCAGTACACTGCAAAGTTCGTGAGCTCGCCTCCGACGGCGATGAGCTGGTCAAGTAGAGGCAGTAGTGTTGAAACAACTCCCAGAGACTGGTCCGACGCGCCTCCTGGGCGATGTAGAACTACGGCTGCATCGAACTTGATTCAACTGTGCCCTTCCAACGGCATGGCACGGACAACTGCGCGCCAGCCATCCAAGCGACGTCGTTCCGGACCAGCCTGAGTCATAAGCCTACTGGGCATCAGCTCCAGCTGCAACCGAGTCTGCTTCAGTGCCACGCAAGGCGCCGGGAAGGGACAGCAACGCTGACAGATTCGGGTTGCGATTTGCTCGGCGTAATCATTTCCACAAAAGAGATTAATCAAAGGGCTTTGATTAATCTCATGTTGCCGCCGACTTGTGGAAGGGATCAGTAGACGCCGGCCGAACGTCAGACGCTGTGGTAGAGCCACGACACACGCGGTGTAAACTATTCTATGCGCGTCCGCCTGTCCACGGATCATCCGGACAGTGGCCGACTCGATGGCTATGTCCACGCGTCCGTCTGACTCTGACGAAACAACCCATGTCATTGACACAAAAGGCCTCGCAAAGTGAGTTGCCAAGAGCTGTGGCAGCGATCTCGAAGGCAGCGATCTCGAAGGTAGCGATCTCGAAAGTAGCACCTGACAGGCCGTAGCTCCCCCTACAAGATACTACAAGAGACGGTAGCAAACCAGGCTGGGTTCACGCCAACGAGCGCACGCCGTGACTGCACTGGTAGGAGGGCACTTGCATCTTGAGTTTTTTAGTAAGTGGGAACGTGACGGCGGGCGGAGTGGGCCGTCGTTCAGCCGAAGAGTCAGCGAGACACTATACATCTGTACCCCTTCGACGTCCATTTTGCACGCGCAGGTCTATTCGTTCGGTAAAGCTCCTCACTCACTAGACGGGAGACCGCCAACAGCTCGGACGTCTGCACGTCGTGCACGCAGACAGGCCTTGAGACTGGTCAGATAGGTCGGGATCATCGCCAACTGCCTGCAGGACCCATCCCGACGAAAGAAAAGGGAAAGAAAGTAGCGATACGTAGGACAGCAATTGTCGCGTCCCGTCCGCAGTGTTTGCGTCAGTAGCTCTCGCGCACCCAGCGACGCCCAGGGATAAGATCGTACATATGGCCGCGACACCATCGACCGTAGCGCCGCCACCGACGCCCGCAAACAACAGACAAATGGGCACGCGGGAACTTTGAGCTGTCGCAAAGCGCAAGTACCGCAGACTGGCACGAAATGACAAGGAACGTGTCGGACAAGCCCGCGCACTTATTTGCGTACAAAGCAGCCGTGTTATCTCGAACAGCGCCAGATCTACCGCCGGGCGTCCGAGAGGAGATCGGCCGCCTATTTCCGGACACGACGGAAGAGATATGCAGGGCTTGGACACGAATCTGGTGGATCGCGTGCTCGATTGGCTTCGCCACCCTGTGGGTCCAGAGAAACCGATGGGTGCACAAGCGCGAGGAAACAGCCGTCGATCAAGCCGAACCGGAACTACGTCACACACTGCTTCGACAGCTCCAAGCTGTCGCAGTCAGGGAACACCAATTCAACCGGAACGGGGACGACTATCTCTTTTTCCGGCTAGTGACGGAACTGTTTCGAGCTCCGGTTACTCAGCGGCCGGTTGCTCGATATGATTCGGGCAGGCAGCTCACGTCACCGGTAGAGGTGCCCGAGCGGCTAGAGACTTTCCAGCTATCTTGCAAGCCGTAAAGGCATAAAGACAGCCTGTTGCTCTCTCACAAGGAACGCGTCGGGCAGAGCACCACTGCAAAAGGCCAAACGAGACAACTGCGAGAGCCGTTGCCGAGCGTGACAGGCTCTGTGCTACTACTGCACTCGCAAGAGGAGGAACTGGCTTTCGCATCCGCTCGGACATCTCATCAGAGAGCCTGCGACAGCACTGTTGAGGTATGGGTGGACGAGCGACTGCCGCTCTCTCACGTTGCTGATTACGGACACTAGACCAAGTCTGCATAATCTTCAACGATCGACGCCACCGGAGCTCGCGCCGCCGAACAGCCAACGACGTCCGAGGTGGGCGTCCTCCTGTCATGCCACAATCCAATTTGGTCTCTACTACCCACTCGCCATCAACTTACTCACGTCGTCGTCGCAACAGCAACAGCAAACCATGCGATCCTGCCGTGTCGTGCTACTGGCCGTCGCCGCGTTCTTCGCTTCCGCAGCGGCAGCTGACGCAGATCAGAGTTCGTCCGCCCGTCTTCGATCCGTCGCAAGTGGAGCGAGAGCTATGGATGGGGCCGCAATGGACGATGCAAGACCTCGGTTCCAGGAGGACACGCAAGTCGTGGATGGCAGCGGCGAAGAGAGAGGGGAGGGGGAGGGGGGTTGTGGGCGACGCTTGTCAGCAAGGTGCGGGGCGGCGCGAAGATCGCGCCCCTTGTCAAAGGTTTACCCGCTAGAAAGATGAAGTCAATCTTCCCCACTTTACCCGTTGAAGAGATCGAGAGGTTGATGATGAATGAAGAAGCGCGGGAAACAGCGTTCGCGGTATGGGACCAAATGCGTATGGAAAACATCGACCATAGGTCCTTATTCATAGGATTGTCCCAGAGCACTGAGGTCGAAGCGCTGTTCAATATCTACAACCGCGAGAGAGGCTTGTCATGATCATGTCGTTGACAACTGGTCCACGCACGAATAAATGTTGGCATCAGCATTAGCCCTTTCGTCTGTTTTTGATTCGGTTGTTGCGATGATAGAGCTCGATCGAATCTCTCGTGACTATCGCTGGCTGTCCTGATACGGGAAGGAAGGAGGAGCCAAGACCCCAAGGGGATGATGGTACGTTGTAGCGCCCTGTTTTGCGTCAAGACCGGTACCCTTCCCGTAGTGGTAACGTATCGGTGGCTACCGAGTCGTCCGTTCTTAGCGCTCTCAGATGTGTCTGAATGAGGTAGTGCAGACCAGTACATGAGCACGTGTTAAACAATAGAAAAGAGTGGTGTCGTTGAGCCACCACGTCCGATCGGCGATGCTCTGAAGTAGCGTACGCGGGCGCACAACTTGTAAGTGCGTGAGGTACAGCAACCGCAGCTGGAACATGTGACCCAATGGGGTCGAACACAGCGAACGTGGGGCGTAACAAACGCGACCGATACCACTTGTCTCCTCACAATCAGCAGGCACCTCATCTGGCCGCTGCGGCGAAATGGCTGCACATCACCGATCCGAGCCAGTCAACATGCCGCGTCGATTGCACAAAGGCCAAAGTGCGGCGGGATGGGACGCAACCGCAGAGCGTCTGAAGCTTTGCGGCATGTGGCTCGATACCAAACTGGCAGTGGCGTACTGTTGTGCTTTGCCCACGAGCACAGTGATGGCCGCTGTTGCTGCTGCTGCTGTAGACAATCGATCGGTAGTTGGCATTTCTCTCGTCAAGTAACAAATAGACACTTACTACGGAGCGCGACGGCACGCGACTCTCACCTTTTTGTGCCGAGTGGTGCACAGATGATGAAGCTAAAAGACGCACTCGTCGGTCGGTCCCTGCGCAAGTGAGTCTACGGGCCTACGTCCGGACAGTAACAAGCTGTTTTAAACACAGCGGTCGCGCATCTTGCACGTGCTTTGTCTCACCTTTTGTCAAAACACGAAGCGCAGTTTAGAAGTTGCATCGATTGCATGGAATAGTGTCGCCGGTCGGTCTCGCAACAAAGCACTTTGTAGCGCTCGGTGGCGTCAAGTGAGCCGAGCGAGCAACAGTACAAGCTGCGAGCGACACGAACCACTTTCACTCGCACGTTCTCCGATGCGATCGAAAAAAGACTTTTCTTACACCGCAGTTGTGCCGATGCGTTTTTTTGCCCGCGGCCGAGCACCTCCGTCGCTTCTGCTGTCTTCAAACGTCAAATCGATTGCCCACTAAGAGAGAGAGAGATCGACGCGCCGCTTTGGTCGCATCGACGTCGTCGGCAGTGGTGACTTGGCGACACTCGTTTTCAGTAGGCGTATCAATGTTTCGTGCGTAACGCACCCGCCTACCAGTGTCTACATACGTACATACAGTCAGTCAGTCAGTCAGTCTATTTAGTGCTTCTATCGCTAAACCGTTAATCGAGCTCCGAGATGGACAAAATCGAGCGTCGGTCGACCAGCGGCTCGTGGCGAAACCGCGTGCTCGCGTTCATTTTGCTCGTAAACTGATAGACCGACTCGGCGTTCATCTGCAGCTCCTGCATCCGCCGCATGAGGTCGGCCGGCGCGGTCCCCGAAGACGACAGTTGCGACCGACACTGACGTGAAAAGGACGTGCAGCTCAGCTCGGGCGCTTCGCCGCCGTATCGCGGCTGGTAACACAACTGCTGCTGCTGCAGATACAGATGCGGCGGCGGCGGTGGCGGCGGCGGGCGAGACGCGCCCGCGAGTCGCGCCAGCTCCCGATGACTGGCCGCCTCCTCGCGGTCCTGATCGTCCGCCACGGGCAGCGTCGAGGCAAACGACTTGCCGCTGTCCGACCGCCTGAGGTCCGCGGACGTCTTCGTCCGCTCTTCGAACATCGGCCGGTCGTCGTAGCTCCCGCGCACGGAAGCGGTCGCCTCGTACGCCGAGCAGCGGCTCTGTCGGCGCTCGTCCGAGTCGGACCACCTGTCGCCCGTGACGCTGTCGTCCGACTTGGACCGACCGAACGCGTCCCATCGGCGGCCGGGGGTCCACGCCACCGACGCGTCGGCTTCGTCGTCGTCGTCGACCGCCTCTTCTTCGTCGCACGCGGCCGCCTCCTGCCGGGCCACGACGCGCGCGTCCGCGTGGCTCGCGTTCACCTTACAGTTCTTGCACAGCGTCACAGAGCGCTTCTCCAGCCACCCACTTGGCGCGTGGTCGGCCGACCGCCGCTTCCTTCTGCTACTGCTATTGCGATTGCTGCTGTCGGCAGCCGCGTCGGACCGCTTGACGAGGCTGAGGTCCCGCGCCACGCGGCACCGCGAGCACACGGGCGTCCGGCAGAGGTCGCACGACAGCGCGGGGCTCAAAACGCCGAACTTGCGGTCGCAGATCGCACAGCGGCCGGTCGGCCGGTCGGCTCCGAAAGCGGCCGTCGTGTCTCGAGCCGCCAGCAGCCGCCCGAGTTTCTTGCTCTGGCCGCACGCCGCCGCGTCCACGAGGCCCGCGAGCACGTACGTGTGCAGCTTCGACGCTGCCTGGTGGTCCTGCATGCTGCCCTTGAAGTCCGCAAAGGCGCGCGCAAAGACGTCGACGTACGGGCCGCTGGACGACCGCCCGTCGCCGGCCGTGAACAGCGCGCACGACGAGAGCCACCCGCGCGTGAGGCCGCGGGCCTCGAGCGTCCCGCACTCGGACCGCTCAATCGACTGCCGCAGCGCGTAGCCGACCGCTTGCGCGTGCGCGCGGCCCGGCACGCGGTGGCGCACGACGCCGGACGCGACGACGACCACGAAGTCGCGCGGCCGTCGAGCGCCCGCTTTGCTGCGCGCCGCCGCCCCGCGCACGAGCCAGTGGATCCCGAGGCACTGGAACGGCGTTGTCGCGCTCGGGCGGTCGATGCTGCAGAGCACCGCCGCGTCGAGCAGCGCCGGGTCCGGCATGTAGCTCTCGCGCAGGTGCAGCGCGGCCGTGTCGGACGCCGCGAGGCCGTACATGACGTCGTCCAGCGGCCCGGGGAGCTGCCCTTCGACCGCGACGGACGCGACCGACGACGCGCCCGGAACCGCTGCCGAAGACGACGACGCGGACGGCGTCAGCTCAGGAGTGAACGCCGCCATCGCCACAGCGTTCGTCGGCACTGACGGCGGCCCAAAGTGCTCCGCGGCCGACGCGTAGCTCGACAGCGACCCGAGCGACGACTGAGACAGCGACGACGACGACCGGCGGCTGGCGAGTGCCTCTGTGAGCTGCGGGTGCGTCGGGTGGCGCTCCTGATAGCTGCAGAGCCCTTCGAGCGACTTGAGGCGTTTCCACTGCCACTTGTCCAGCAGCAGACTGCGGCCGCTCGCGCGCGCAGTGACGTGCGCGTCAAAGTCGCGCAGCGTCTCGTCGAGCAGTTGGCGCACTTGACAGCGGTAGGAATGCGCTTCGGCCGGCGTCACGTGGACCGCAGGGAACGGCGTCGCGCCTTTCATAGTGCGCGGGTGTCCTCGAGACGTGCGTTCGACGGACAAAGGCAGAGTGAACGAGCGAGCGGTGCAGGACGTGGAGACCGCTCGTGTGCGGATAAGACAATGGCCACAACGGATCATACGGACGGACGGACGGACTGCCAGAAGGTGTGGTATTGGTACGGCATGACATGACTTGGTCTCTTTTGAGTGCCATTGTTATTGACGCGAGTTACGGCTCCTCCTGCTGCTGCTGCTGCTGTTGTTTGGTTGCTGTGAGTAGCGCTGCGACGGAACGGGCGAGTGCGTGGACCATGCAGACTCGCGTGAACAGACGTCGAGCGAGTGGACTGCCAGCCGATTTCCAGGTCGGTTTCGACTCGAGTCGGAGCTGCTCGAGAGCTCCGCGTGAATGACGGCCATGCACAGCACTCGAGACGGTACTGGGGATATCCAACAAGTGACGTCTGTGAGGAGGCCCACACGCTGGGAAAACATGGCGGGTGAGTCGACTGCCACGACCCTCTTCGACGAGAGCTGTTGCAACGAGGACCTTCTCTTCAGCACCGCGTCCAGAACGGCACTTCCACGCGACGTATTGTCCATCGCTGTCGCTGTCCAGAGCTCCCGACAGACTCCACAAACACATCGACTGTTACTTCTGCGTGACGATGCCAAACAGCAGCCCGAGATCATAACTGCTGCGTGACCTCACGCCCGACGCGTTTGCAACGCTTTTGACAGTCCCGGCGTCACGCAGTCAGCTGCTTACAAGACCAGAGTCGCCGCGTTGACGCGGGTATCGTCTAGCACCGATGCGATCCATAGAGATCGACACACGACCGCCCGTGCTCTACCGTGTTGCAGCCGCTCAGAGGCTCAGAGGCTCCATCGACACGCACTGCAACAATGACATGGCCGCGTTCTTTGCACCGAACATTTGGTCGGACCTGTTGGCGTCGCTGTCAACCCGACCCAAAGCTGACTGGACGCAAGAGTTTCGACACTACTTCATTGACACGTGACCTCTTCCTCTCTTAAGAAAACACTCGGCGAGCTGTACAATAGCCCTGGAAGTGGCCGAGCCTCAATGACGTGTTGTTGCGGCCAACGACGTATTCGCCATGTCAGCAGTACTTCTCCTCCACACGCCGCGATAGAACAGATGCCGGTCATGCACTTGACGTCAACTTGACTATAACATGCCTTCGCGGCACTCAGCAAGTGCTGCACCACTGACCAGCACTGCAACAAATAATTAAACATTCCTCGGGCGGGCGCTCCACCCGACGCTCGATCCCCGACGCAATAACGCGAGACGGACCTCATACCCTTCTCGCAGAGCAAACACTAGCGGAACTGCCGTTGCTCTCCAGCTGCATCGACAGCTCACGAAGCCACAAACGCAGCAACGGGCTGTGACGTGTCCACACTACGGCACTAGGCCGAAAAGTTCTTCATGAGCTGGGCCACCTTGCTAGATACTGTCGGCGTACAAGAGCTCGTCGTGTGAGACGAGCTCGAGGCGACTGCGTTTGCATAGCGGTCGGTGATCTTGCCGGCCTGCGCTGAAATCGAGGGCGACGCGAGCCGTGACATTGGCGACGGCGCTTTTTCCGTCTCGTCGTTCTCGCAGACCGATACCGAGCGATTGGCGCCAGTCTCGACTGGGAACTTCACGTCTTTGCCAAGCAACGACATCTCTGTCACCATTTGCTGGACGATCGCCTCGAGCTCGTCGCGCTCGCGGATAGCAACTGTCACTCGATTCCCGAGCCTTTTCAGTCGCCGAGCCTGCTCGTCATTGCGCTCACACAAGCACGCGATCTCGCTCTCAAAGCACTTGACCTGATGCGCCACGTCGTCCATGTTGCTAGGTGCGCTGCTGCCTTCGCCGCTTCGCCCATCAACCCGAGAGCGCAAGTGCTCAAGGTCCTGCTCAGCAATCATGAGCTGGGCCGACTTCTGGTCCAGCTCGCGCTGCATCTCGGCCAACATTGCAGACGTCTTGGCGTCCAACGAGGGAGCAATGAAGCTGTTGTTGTCCGAGTTGATCGTCCGGCTTCGCTGCTCAAAGAGCTGACCTTCGAGCGCAGTTAGCTTCACTTCGAGCGTGCGCTTCTCTTTCAGCGTCTCTTCGAGACGCTCATTGACACTCTCGAGCTGGTTGCTGCGGAAACGGAGCTGCATGACTTCCTGCTTCGATAGCTTCAGCTGCTTTTGCACGTCGGCCAAATGGTCGTGACCTACAGCGTCACTTGTAGTCGAGTTGCGAGATATGAATGACGTGGACGTTGTTGCGCCGGCTGCGCTACAAGACATCACAGCCAGCTGGTTCTCGAGCTGCAAAATCGATTCCCTTGCCATCTTCAAAGACAACCGCACACCTGCGAGTTCGCTCTCCAGCTCCGCCTTTGTACTCTCGCCCGCTCGAGCACGACGTGCAGCGTCTTCTAGCTGTACCTTCAGTGACGCGACCTCTGCTTTGCTCACCTCGAGCTCTTTGCCCCGCACATCCAGTAGCCTCTCGAGTTCACAGATACTTGTCTTGGTCTCCTCCACGGTCGCTTGGCCATCGCTGTCGCTCTTCTGCGCCTGAAGCTCCTCAATCTGATCGCGTAGACGACCATTCTCTTCGGTCGCACTCGCCAACATCTCGTCCAGCTCGTTGACGCGGTCCTCTAGCGCCAATTTGGCTTTGCCGACATCAGCGTACATCTTGTCCAAGAAGCCAGACGCCTGTGTCGGCTGCGCTTGGTCTGTCTTCCGCGCGCACCCGTTCTGAGCAGACTCGAGCTGTTGTTTCAGCGTCTTGACGTCGCCTTTGGCCGTAGCCAGTTCCGACTCCAGCGCGGCCACGCGTCCAGCTTCGACCTCGTGCTGCTCGCGGATGCGACTGAGCAGCGCCGCATCATCATGTTCGGTCTCCTCAATGTCTTCGCGACTAGACGAGCTCGTTGTCTCGGAGACCTCTGCAGTCAGAGATGGACCGGATGCAAAGCCGGATGGGTAGCCTCCCGAGTGCTTCTTCAGAGCACTGGCGACGTTTGCCAGTGCACCTTCAAGCTCTGCCCGCAGCTTAAAGTTCTCGCGCTCGAGATTGTTGAGCTGCTGCGTCATCGTGAGAGCAACCGGTCGCTCGCGAAAGTCCAGCGTGACGCTCCCGCTACGCACCGACGAGATAGTAGTGCCGGACGCGTCTGTTGCCGCACGATGAGTGCGAGTACCGCCCTCGGCCGCCTCGCTGTCGTAGTCCATGGAGCGACCCACGAACTCTAATTGCTCCTGCAGTCGCTGGTTGCGCTGCAATGCTGCCTCGGTCTCGGCTCGGTAGTCCAAGGCAGGCTGCGACTCCGGACTGAGGGCTGCTTCGATCGAGTGCGCGCTCTCGTAGCCGCGCAGCACGTCCACTTCGTCGTGAAACTTCTTGACTCGCTCAATCAGCTCCACCTGCGGCAGCAACGTCGTGTCTTGCAAATGCATCTGCTCGTTGCACAAGAGCACAGCCGTCTCAAGCTCCTGTAGCAGCCGCAGATTCAATGCACGCTGCTGCACTGCGTTGCGCGTCTCGGCCTTTTCGCGAACCACCAGCTCTTCGTTCTCCGTTGCCAAGGCGTCGATCCGTTTCTGCGACTCTTTCAGGAACGACTCGAGCTGCAGCACTTGCACCTCTTTGCGGTCGAGTCGGCGCTTTGCCGACCGGCAGTTGCTGCAATTGAGCGTCGACGCTTCTTCCAGCCCGTCGTTCTCGCTGCCGGCCGAACTCAGACTGGCCGTCGTGCGGCGGTTCGGCACGGACGGAGCGTCGTTGGCAACGCGACGCGACCTGTTCCGCTCTCGCGAGCGCGGCGTCTGAGCCTTGGGCGTCGTTCCGCTCTTGGCCGGCAGCGTCGACGACGGCGGCAGTCCCGCAACTGCGGCGACGGACGCACCGGCAGTGGCGGGCGAGCTGTCCGAGGAGCTCACGAGGTCCCACGTGATCTCAAACTCGAGCGTGGCCGCCAAGTCCCGACACTTGAGCGGCGAGACGCGGAAGAACTTGCGGCGGTCGTGCGGCAGTGCGTTGGGCTGCACGAGCGTAGCAAAGTCCACCGAGAAGAGCGCGACGGCCGAGTGGCTCGGCAACTACAAAAGACACAGACACAGAGAGACAAACAGAGACAGAGAGAGAGAGATACACAGAGACCCGACAAAGTGAGAACGAAACGTCCGAGACGAGCGCACAGGAGCGACCAGAGAGAGAGAGAGAGAGAGAGAGAGAGAGAGAGAGAGAGAGGCGACGACGCAAAACGCACCGCCACGAGCACAATCTCGTACTCCTTCTTGAGAAACTCGGCGGCTGCTGTCGTCGCAGCGCCCTGCGGCTTCTTCTGGCGCAGGAGCGACGTCTGGATGTCCACGTGCTGGTTCCACACGGCGCTGTGCTCGGCGCTCCAGTGCGCGGGCTCCGACGTCACCTCTTTGCTGTTGCGGCGGAAGAGCACAATGAGGTCGTCGTCGGCCGGACTGATGTCGCGCCCAATGTTTGCGCGGTGGATAAACACTACACACACACACAGACAGACACACAGAGCCAAAGACACACACACAGAGAGAGAGCCACACACATACAGAGAGAGAACCACAATCACAAAAGGAGAGACGTCAGTAAGTAGCGCGTCGGACGTAGCAGACCAATAGGGCAATAGACCGACGACCGATCAACCGACCGACCGATCGATAGACGGACCGACAGACGTACCGTCGAGATTGATGAGTATCGTGCCATGTGCGCCGGTCGAGAGCGAGCGTTGGGAGCCCGAGGGCGCAGCTGATCGCGGCGTTGTGGCGGCGCTGTTGCCGGCCGAGACGGCGCTCTTGTGGGCGTCCGGTGGCGGCGGACCTCCGCGTCGCATCACGCGCGCGCTCTCCACGAGACGTTTCTCGAGGCCGACGGACGGGAGACGCAAAGAACAAGTGGCGCGGTCCGACTGTGCGGCTCGAGCGACACAGTGTCACAGTCACACACGTGGGGCGCGTGCGTCGACTACGCGTCGACTGGAAGCTGACGGATTGCGCGCGGAAGTGGGCGACGGCAAAAGGGGCCGAGAGGGACACACGAAAGACGCGACCGAGTGGCCGTCTTTTCGACGTTGCGTTCTGTCGGGCTAAAGGCACAGACGACGGAGGCGGACGCGCTCGGGGCAGATGGTGGCTGCGGCGGTCTGTGCTCTGTCCGTCGTGTCGTTTCGCTCGGGACGCTCGTTATGGAGCGCGCGCGCGAGTCGCAGTGCGAAGGTGAGAGAACGGCCGGCAGATGGCAGACGAGGGAGTAAGTGAGTGACTGAGTGAGTGACTGAGTGAGTGACTGAGTGAGTGACTGAGTGAGTGACTGAGTGAGTGAGTGACTGAGTGAGTGAGTGAGTGGGCAGTGAGTGGGAGACGGACGCCACGACCGATTCCGAAAGAGGGCGCGACGTCGGCGCTCTGTGGCTTCGAAGCGCAAAGACGACAAGTTGGCCCGAGTGGGTCACCCGCGTGCAGCCCATCGCAGGAGCCACAACGTCGTGCGTGGCGCCAGCTGACCGCTCGACACGTTCGACGAGGGCGACTTGCACAGGGTCCACACTCGGTACCCACCCACCCACCCACACGGTCTGTCACGCCGCCTCTATGTCACAATGTCGATCTCTCTCCACTCTCTCTCTCTCTGGCTATGACCATGTCGATCTCTCTATGTCTCTCTCTCCATGTCTCTCTCTCTCTCTCTCTCTCTCTCTTTGGCTGTGGCTGTCCTGTCATCGTCTACGGGTTGGGAAAAGCGCCTCGGCGTCCGTCCGGGCGAGAAAATCGCTGGAGAGTGGGACGACGGCGCAGCGCCAGACGGGACACGGAACGCCCGCGCCCGCGTCTTTCTCTGTCCCTCTCGCTGCCCTTTCTTTTCTTTTTTTCTTTCCGCACTGACTCAAGCGCTACGATCGAGTCGGACATTGCACCGAACCCGCAGGTCGGGACAGCGCACGTGCTGCTCCCATCCGTTTCCCTGTCGCGCGTGTTGACAATCCATCCGCTCGTAGCGTCTCACCACTCTGTCACTCAGTCAGTCAGTCAGTCAGTCAGTCACTCGTTGAGTCAGTCACTCGGTCAATCACTCAGTCAGTCGTTCATTGATCGGTCACTCTCTCTCTCTTTTCTCTCTCTCTCTCTCTCTCTCTCTCTCTCTCTCTCTCTCTCTCTCTCTCTCTCTCTCTCTTTCGGATCTCTTCTTCATGTGCGACAGACGGACTGACAAACACTACGACTGCGACTGCTGCGCGGCACATTCAAAGAGACAGCGACTGCGGCACTCGCGCCGGACGCAGACGGACACTTTGCCCATGCAACAACAGCTCCCGGAAGTAGTAGCAGTGGTGGGCTGACAAAATTGGGCGCTCTCGAGGCGAGCGCATAAATACACGCGGAACTGGTTCAGCAACGAACGAACGAACGGACGGACGGACGAACGGACGGCTCTCACTGGACCAGACGGCCGACCACGGGCACGGCCATGACGGAGCGCGAACTCGGCAGCGACGACAAGTTGGACGACAGGTCGGAGCTCGAGAGACTGCTGATGGCGCTCGTGGAGCTGAAGTAGCTCGGCCGCGTCCAGTTGAGCGGCACGTGGTTGCTCGTGGTCAGGCGGCCCTCCAGCACGCGCACGAGCTCCTCCTGCACGTCAATGGCGTCCGGCCGCTCGCTCGGCACCTCGTGCCAGCACTGGCGCGCGAGGTCCCGCAACTCCAGCGGACAGTCGGCCGAGAACTTGAGCAAGAGCGGGTTACCCCCGTAGTCGGCAGAGGCCCTCGAGCTCGCCAGGTCCTCCTCGACCGCAATCATCGTGTCGAGCTCCCACAGGAACGTGCCAAACGCAAACACGTCTTCTCGCTGGGCCGCGACGATGGACGCCCCGAGGCCGCCACTCGACTTGAGCGAACTCTCGTTGAGGTCGTCCAGCCCTTCGATGGGCGCGGCGATCTCACCGCTGCGGCTGTGGTTGTCGTCGAGCGTGACGCTGCTGACTCCGCTGGCTCCGCTCGCGTCGCTCTGTCCGCTGTTGTTGTCGTACCGATTGCGGCTGAGGCGGTCAGATGCTTGGCGCTTCTGCGCTCTCGACGAGCGCGTAGCACGGAGTCCAGCGATCTTCTGCACAGTCCATCGCGCGCTGTCACGCAGCGAGCCACGGAAGTCGTCGGCTTTGCCGTACGCGTCGTCTCGGCTCGACGCCAAGTCCGAAGGCAGCAAGACGTCCATTGCGCTCAGTTTGGCCTCGCCCTGCTCGTTGACCAGCACCTTCCGAGCACACACGTGGCCGTGGGCGTAATTGTTGGCGTGGAGGTAGACAAGACCCATGGCGACATCGAGAGCGATCGACAGCTTGCAGCGCCAGTCGGCGTTCGGGTTCGCGTTCACACTCGCGCTCGAGTTGGCAAACATGGGGTACCAGCTGAAGATATTGCCATTGCCGCTCCCGATCGCCGCTGCGACGCTGCTGTTCGGGTGATACCCTTTGCCCTCGCGTCGATATCGCTCGGCCTCAAACATGCTGGCAAGCGATCCGTGCTGCATGTACTCAAACACGACGCCGAGGTGCCACGAGGGCGCGCCCATGCTCGGGTACCGACTCTTTGTCGCGCTGCTGTTTGCCATGCTCTCGCCTGCGGTGTTCGCGGGACCGTAGCTGGCGTACGGCGCGCGAGGCATTGCTGCACTGCTGCCCCGTCGACGACTTGCCGTGCTGCTGCAGCCCGTGGTCACGCCAATAAAGTGCACAATCGACGCGTGGTCGAGGGAAGCTGCGAGACGGATCTGCTCGACAAAGCGCTTCTCCAGCTGCTTCTTGCAGCGCATGAGCGCTTGGATCACCACCTTGTAGCCCTGGTACTCGGCCAAGAACAAGGCCGAGTCCACCTTCTTCCGAGTGTTGCCCACGCCGACACTGCTCAGCGCTAGCGCCGCTTTGCTGCCCTTCTTCGACGACGACACGCACAGCGCGCGGAGCATCTGGATCTCCTCGGGCGGAATCTCGTACACGAGCAGATCGTCCAAGTCGACTTTGATCTTGAGCTTGCTGCGAGCCTGGAGCGAGACGGTGCTGGCACCGAGAAAGTGCTTGTCCCCGTTCGGACTCGGCTCAAGCAGAGCTACCGGGTTGTACTTGTCCAGCGGGCTCTCGTAGATCGTCCACGCTGCGTGACCAGGTGTGTGGACGCCGGTGCTCCCAAACGTGCTCGTGCTCTCGTTCTTGCTGTCGCGGTAGTTGTCATTGACAATGAGCCGATTCGCACGACTCGTGCGTCCGCTGCCCGTGAACACGACAAAGTTGCTGCCACTGCTTCCTAATCGACGTTCACGATTTAGCTTCAGAGTAGGACATCGAGACGGGCTGCCGCCGTTATCTCTGCGCTTCTTCCACACAAGTCCAAAGGCCAAGGCGCTCAACAAGATGCCAACGAGGAAAAACGTGCCGCCGATGATTCCAATGGATCCGGCCGAAAAGATCGAGCCCGAGCTGCTGCTCGATGACGCGCCGTCGCTCGAGCCCGGGGTAGTGGCGGTGTTGTCGTCCGTCAAACTCCCGGCATTCGAGTCCGTTGCCAAGGCACTGACGCAGTCCTCGTCTTCCAAGACGCAAAAAGGGACGCCCCGAATGGCCATACTAGTTGCCGTCGAGTTGGAGCAAGTGCTTGACACGGACGACGGTGCAGTAAACTCAGTGAGGCTCTCAAACACGATCACGTCCGATCGGCAAATTTCGATCGTGGACAACGGGTTATCCCTCAACGATACCTTGCGAAGCGTCGACGCAAACGTCACGCCACGAATCCTCTTGATTCCATTGCCTTCGAGGTTCCTGTATACGAACGCGCTAGTCAGACTTTATGCAGCATGTGCAGCTGCAGCTATCAGGTGGAGAAACGTACAGCTCGACGAGCGTCGTGAGCGACGATACGACCGTGGGGAACGCCGTAAGTAAGTTGTTGCTCAAGTCCCTGCAGCGAAGCAAAAGAACCGACGACCATCAGTACACAAGATACTTCACTGGGTACATCCATCAACAACGATCTTTCGGCACGCACAGGTATTGCAGAGCCGTTGGAAGGTTCGCGAAGCTGGTCGAAGCACTAGTGAACGAGTTCCTCGTCGCGTTGAGTATCCGCAGAGACACGGGCAGCATGAGGTCGTCGAGGTTCGATATGCTTGTGCTCGACAGGGATCTGCAAGAAACGAGCAACAACATCGACGTGAGTCTCCCATCGTCCATACGACAGGTGACCAGCCACTGCACGTGTTATTTCATGGACTTACAGCGACCGCAGTGCTCCGAATCTCGTAAACGTGTCAGTCGCGACTGACTTGAGCGGGTTGCCGTGCAGCAAAAGCGTCTGCAGGTCCCCCGACACGGGCCAGGGCGTAGCTGTCGACAGCGTCGTGATAAAGTTGTAGCTCAGGTCCAAGTAATTGAGTCGACGAGGAAAGTTCGAGCTGACCAAGTCCGTGATCAAGTTGCTCGACAGTTGTCTATCAGTGCCAAGACAGCACCACAGCCACAAATACACATCAACTCGCGTGAGCAGTCATGTCGACACCGACCACAGCCACAGCCACAGCCACAGCGCTCTCTAACACCAACGCACAAGTCTTTCATGTCACTGTCCAAGTCCGTCGACGAAAACGTCTCGAGCCGATTGTTGTTCAAGAGCCTAATCGAACCACAACAACCACAACCGCAACAACAACAACCACAGCCACAACAACCACAATCGTCCAGCACGTCAGCCATCGCTTCCTATCCAGCCCAAGACACACCTTCACACACACACTATCGTACAGTTGATACACGCGCGGGTAGCTCCGCACGGCCACAACGTCCAAGTTCGAGAGGTTCAGACTCCGCTCGACCGTCGAGCTCACGACCACTTGGAAGCTCCGCGCGTTGCACGCCGCGTCGTAGACGATCGCAGCGCTCTCGTCGTCGGCCACTAACGTACTCGCGTTCGCACACGACTGCGCTGCAACGCGCGACGTCGAGAGGCTCAGGCCGAGCCATAGGACCAATGACAAGAGCTGCTGACGCGCCGTCAGACGTCGTCGTCGTAGCGGTCGTAGTGCGGCGGCCGCGTCCCTCATGACGGACGAGAAGGCGGCGCAGTCCCACACTCGTCGGCGCGCGAAGGCGTTCGTACAATGCGACTACCGCCTGGCGACTAATTGGCGAATCGGCGAATCGACTAATTGAGCAATTGGCCAATTGAGCAATTGGCGGTCGGCGTAATTGGCCAATTGGCTGCGTGAGTGAGCGAGTGACCGAGTGAGGAAGTTAGTGACTGAACGAGTTAGTGACCGACCGACCGACCGACTGACTGACTGACTGGACCGACGGACGACGGACGACGGACTGGACCGACTGCCGGGCGAAAGAGCTGTTGAACTATCGATTGAGCTGCTGCGAGTCGGAACAACGCGAGAGAGCGCGCGCGCGCGACTCGTGCGGGTGGGCGGGAGGGCTGGGGGACGGGCGACCATGTGGTTTGCGAGAAGATCGAGTTTGAGAGGTCCGAACGACCCGCGCGGTGGTCGAGTTGTCGACGCGCGCGCGTATGCTCGCGAAACAGGTTCGCTGGCTCTCTGTCCGCGTCGTCACGTCGAAACGACGTGAGACCGCGCAAGTCGCGCGTGGACAACCCGGTGAGTGACTGAACGACTGAGTGAGAGTCTGTGTGAGAGTCTGTGTGTGTGTGTGTGTGTGTGTGTGAATAAACATCTGACCGAGTGATTTGGAGCGGGAGGGAATGTGTGTGCAGACAGCGGCTGCTTGTGGACGATCAACGAGGAAGTGCAAAAGAAGAAGCAGAAAAGAAGGGGAAGAAGTAGAGGAGGAAGAGGCGGCAGCAGAGGAGATGCACGGGATGAGTCGGCGATTGCAGGGCGTAGGAATCGACTGGTAAAAGCGCCGCGAGCAAAGGTGTGGCGGCGTGTGGTGACGACGGCCGTTTGGCGAAACCGAGCGGACCAAGCGGTTCAGCGCTGGGGCGGGCGAAGGAGGAAGAAAAGACACGTACGTGCATGCAAAACGGTCGAGTCGTTGGAGGGCGACGAGAGTAGAGGTGTTGCACGCGCTTTCGGTGTCGCTGAGTCAGCAACGACCGGCTCATGGACCCTCTGCTGGCCTCATGTTTGAAATGAGCACCACGGACGAGCGTTGGCGTTGCAAAGGACCTTTCGACTCGATAGCGAAGAGCTCTTGTCCAGCCAAAGTGGTTCGGGAGAGCTATAGGGTGTCACAGCAATCGAGACGCAGCGTGCCACCACCGAGCAACTCGCTGGGGCTGCCTGCAGCTGTTCTCGAGTCTTTTGCGTCTGCATTACCGTATGGTTTCCTGCGTGTGGACGAAGTGAGGTACACATGTCAAGGTCTGTCACGCAGAGCCTCAAGCAGAAGGCGCGACGTTGCGCGCTGCGTCGTGGCTGACAGACCGCACACGGCGAGAGAGCAGCTCGGGATACGGTCGTCTGGCTCAGCCCACTCGGTACACACACGCCACATGCTCGACATTTTCTTGAAGACATGCAGTGGAGATGTGCGACAGCAGCCAAGTGTGAGCGGGTGAGGGCGAGCGGGTATGGTGTGGGTGTGCACTCTCGAACCGTTGAGCCTCAGCGCAAGTCCGCCCACGCGTCCGTCGCAGCGCAGAAGCAGCTGAGTGTCTCCGTCGCGGAAGCCATCGGAGCACATCCATTGTCGGTCTATCGGATACACAGAGCGCAGGCGACGAGTCACTGTGCTAGAGCTGCTGCTCACTGGAGAGTCACGTTGCTCTCGTTGGCGTCTTCGATGCATTGCGTGGGAGCTTTGGTCATGCAGTGTTGTGCTTACAGTACGTCTGAAGCTCAAGACCAGGACGTTTCTCTGTTCGAGCCTAGAGCGTATGAAGTGAAGCTACAGGTCAACGAAGAGGCGGCAGGAGAGACGGACGGACGGACGGACATGAGACGTTCGTAGGTGAGACAGAGACCTAAAGGACATGCAGTGCATTAGTCCGCTAGACAGTGAGAGGGAAAAGAAGTCGCCGAGTGCGTGTCCCACGCTGTGGTCCCGTCTTGTCACTTTTGTATGCACGCGTTTTGGCGACCGCCAGTCACAGCTCACTGACTCTTTCGAACGGATCCGCTCCCCCCCCCACCGTCTCCGATCCGCCCGCCGCATGTCGTCCAGCGCGCCGCCATCGCCAGTCCGAGGACAGCGGACCTTCTCCTCATGTCGCAACGCCTCGTGGCTCGTCGTGGCGCTGCTGGCGATTGCAGTGGCCGCGTTCGTGCGCGACGCCGACCTCTTGTTCCTGGGACTCGGCAGTCCATTCGGGACCTCCTCAGCTGTCGGCGATTGCGTGGACGCCCGTCGGTACTTGACGGACGTGATGCCGGTCAAGGGGTTCCACGTGCTCTGCGTCGAGACAAAGACGCGTGACACGTGCGTTGCTCGTAGCCGTAGACATTGAGAGAGTGGTGCACATTCCATGGTCTGAGGAGGGGGAGGGGGCTGTTGACACGGTTGCTTCATGTCCATGTGGTTGGGTTGACGCAGGCTGAGGGTGACGGGCTTCAAAGACGGGAATTACGCGAACGAGTCAATCGAGACGACGTCCGACTGGGAGACCTTCTCGCACACGGTCGAAGACGAGCTGCTGGCGATCCCCAAGCCACGCGACGAGCACGCGCAAAAGTACCAGCAGCCCGTGGCGTACTTTACGCCAAACGGCGTGCGACTCGAGAGGGACGTGACGCAGTGGCCGAGTCGCATCGTGTTCGTGTTCGAGGGCGGTCAGTTCATCTGGCCAGGCGTCCGCGTCGGCCACACAAGTGCGTACACGTCGTTCAGTCGTCCTAGCGACGCCAAGTTGGTTGCGTGTGTTGGTCTAACGGTTGACGGCAATGTGGGCTGCGCGTAGCGGTCGTGGAAAATGCCTTTGGACGTGGGGACCTCGTGCTCGAGACGATCAGCATGACGCCACTCGTGTTCAGCGTCAAGGAATTCCTTCGGGATGACGAGGTTGACGTCATTCTGGAGCTGTCCATGCCGCACTTGGCACCGTCCGGCGTGGCGTTGGCGGACGGGGACGAAAACAGACCGTCTACGGACTGGCGCACGAGCACGACGTACTGGTTGGACTCATCCGCGCACTCGGTGGTGCGAAACATTGACAAACGCACGTCGGACCTTGTCAAAGTGCCTGTAAGCCACCAGGAGAATGTCCAAGTGCTGCGCTACGAGAAGACGCAGCACTATGACCAGCACGTGGACTACTTTTCTGCAGACCGTTACCGCAACTCCCCTGGCGTGCTCGAAGACATCGAGTACGGCTACAAGAACCGCATGATCACGGTCTTCTGGTACATGTCGGACGTCGCCAAGGGCGGACACACGAACTTTGCCCGGGCAGGTGGGCTGCCACCTCCTGCGTCTAACAAAGGCTGTTTCCAAGGCCTGAGTGTTGCCCCGGAGAAGCGCAAGGTGGTCGTGTTTTACAGCATGTTGCCGAATGGTGAGAACGATCCGATGAGTCTGCACGCAGGCTGTCCGGTTGAAGAGGGCATCAAGTTCTCGGGCAACAAGTGGATCTGGAACAAGCCGCGCGCGTAAGGCGACGACCGAGTAGACGGACGCACGGCTGGTCGGCCAGACGGACGTGTTCATGTTACTTGTGCTGCTCCTAGTAGTAAAGTCTGGGAGCCCGTGAGTCAGCTGCTGCTGCTGCTGCAACTGTGAGACCATCGAGTCTTGTCGTGTCCCGTCGTGCCTGTCGTGTCCCGTCGTGCCTGTCGAGTCCCGTCGTGCCTGTCGAGTCCCGTCGTCGTGCCTGTCGTGAATAATCAAATGTGGAGTTCCTGGCCCCGAAACTGAGGCAAGTCGTTTGACAGTCGTCGTAGTTCCTGCAGCAGCGGCGTGTGCTCGTCTGCCTTCGCGACGCTTCCTCGCGCCGGTGCAACGAGCCGGTGGTCTTGCCGCTTGACGTTCATCATGTAGATGACCAGAGCTCCTGGAATCAGCTCTGGGATCGCGTAGAACAGCCACGGATTGGCCACGTGCGGGTCCAGCACGTCGATCGCCGGCATGGAGAACAAGAGGAGCAAACTGCGGTAGAAAAACAGCAGCGACGCCACGACGCCAATGAGCGACAGCCGCGTTGCAATGGTCGCGGCCAGGGCCGAGAACTCAATCTTGCGCAGCACTGTGCGCAGCTGCAGCGCGCACCTCGCGAGCATCACGGCGAGAAAGAAGAAGCACAGCGCGACAAAGCCGTAGTCGATCTCCGCGAGCACCATCTTCTGCCGCGGGAACAGCGTCTTGAGCACGAGCAGCGCGCACTCGACGAGGTAAATCCACACGTTGGCCACGAGAAAGAGTTTGCGCGAGCGGTGCGAGCGGTGCGTCCCGGCGCCGCGCGTGTACTCGGCAATGACCGACTCGTTGGCCGCCACGCGCGCGAGCGGCTTCTCGGCGCGCTGGGCCTGGCCGCGCACGTCTTCCCAGAACCGCAGCAGCAGCGTAAAGGCCGAGAAGTAGAGCAGCGTCGCGAGCTTCCCAAACGACGTGACGCCGAGGACGTAAATGTCAATGTCCGTGGGCAGCAGCGGCGTGACGAACACCATGTGCTCGAAGCGGAAGGGCGGCGCGCGGCCTTCGACCCACTGGAACATGTGCATGTTGCTCAGCACGAGCCACGCGATGCGCGCAAAGTACGCAAAGCTGAGGAACGTCGGGAACCAGCGCATGCGCTTGACCGGCAGCAAGTGCGTCGCGTGGCCGTGCTCGCCGAGGCGCGCGCGCTGGATGCTCACGGACACGGTGTACGCCAGCGCGACGGCGTAGCAGTAGGACGCGCCCGCCTCGGCCGACTGCGTGCGGAAGCAGTGGCGCGCGCCGAAGAGGCAGATCTGGTCGAGCAGCTCCATGGCGCCTCGGGCCGCCCGGTCGAAAGAAGAGCTCTGTAGCCATGTTGGCCCAAGGGGCCCAAGCCAGTGGTTTCTAAGCGGCGGCGGCCAAAGCCAGTGGTTTCTAAGCGGCGGCGGCCACAGCCAGTGGTTTCTAAGCGGCGGTGGCGGCGGCTAAAGCCAGTGGTTTCTAAGCGGCGGCGGCTTTCGGGCGCCGATAAGTACGTTTCGACGCCGTCGCACTTGTAAGACGTGACTATCAGTTGAGGGCACGCGTCGGCCAGCTGCGTCGACAGGCTGTGGCTATTTCAGTACTTTAGTTGGGGCTACCTAGGTTCCAGTCTTGCAGCTACTTTTACCATCGCGATCAAGACTTAAAACGTCACGGATGAATCTCGCTATGTCCACTTTCACGCACGCGCGTGTCCAGCGCGACGTCGTTATGATGTCGTGCGGTCACGACCGATGTTTAAGCCGTTCTGTGGTCTTCCGCTCTCTAGAGACGTAGACAGCTCATGCTTTTCCAGCTGTCGGATGCCGACCATATGAGGCCTTTGCCGTGCACGTAGTCCGTGTCTTGTTAGCGTCGGGATCGCCTTTACCTACATCCTCGACACTTTTTCCATCACTGTTGTACCGACCGAAGCGCTGAGACGTCGCCACCGTGCAATCCACAGTCAAAGTGTTCGTACCAATGGCGCTAAGTATGTGCGACAGTCGCGTCGAACGCACCCGCGGGAGCGAGACCAGTAAAGTGCCTGAGCCCACAATGGCCATAACTGCCAACATTGCTCGACAGTTTCCATGTGTGTCGGCAACAACTTTGTTGGAAATCCGTCATGGAAAATGGTGATAGCACGCGCTTCTCAGTCCATTGACGTCGACAGGTACAGCACAGGCCGAGGGCGCCAACTTCATTGACCCGGCGCTTGGTCTCGAAGGAGGTATCGCTATCCACGAAGGACTTCACAAGTTGCGTTCAGCTTCAGATAAGCGTCTGATGAGCAACATCTTGTTGCAGCACGTTGTCGATTTCCTGGAGCTGACTTCCGATACCCGTCACAATACGTCACGACGAAACACTACAAGGAAGAACGGCATTGCCCGTTTCCTCGAGAAAGCGATCGTTTCGCTACGCAAGAGAAGACGTGCTGTGCAGGCTACGGCTTACCGAGCAATTGCTCTATGCTACAGATACGCGGCAAAGTCGTAGCTAAGTTAAAGTCGCACCCGTTCATGTTGTGGACCCAGAGTTTCGATCCAAGATACATCTCAGGGTTTTGTCACGGGCGACAAATGTCCAACACAGTCATGATGCTGATGGTGCGTCTTACATCAGCAACAGAGGCACCGAATCGGAAGTCTGCTGCTAGTCGAGCAATCATGCTGCTCGACATTTGCGAAGCGCAAGGCATGGCCTCACGCGCGTATTTGTTTGGGGTACTGCGGTATGCCAGGCGTGCCAGGCGTGCAGAATTATTCATTACGACGATACACAGTCTCCACCACGACACTACCACACGAGTTTTAGTAGAAACGATGTTGTAGCCGATCTTGTGCGAGTGCACTCGGACACTCAACAGCGTTGTCCATTAGCACTCCTCCTCCATCTCCACATGGCGGCGATGCTGGTAGTTGCAGTACTGCAAAAGCACCGAGATGAGCGGTTACAGCAACTCGGCAATCCGGACCACGAGCAGAAAAGCTCGACGTCTGCTTGACCGTTTGATGGTGACTATGGAGCGATCGAGTAGGTATCGCTGGTCCTGAACACCGTGCAACGTTTCGGCAGGTTATGTGGACTCTCGGTACGACCAGCGAAGAGCGTTTTGACCTTATGAATCGATACAGCGGTCGAGGTCACTGATGTCATAGGAATCGCAGCAGTCAGACACGACACACGACGAAGTGTCTGGAGAACCAAATGGGAACTGCAGGCCACGTCGACGCCAATCGAGCACACGGATCCAACATGCCAAACAGCAACTGGACAGCGGCACAATCTCAAGTAGGTGGCGGTCAGGGTAATTGCTGGTGAATGCTGCCATACTACCGGCTGTGTGATCTGAATCCGCGGTCATCAGGTTCTTACAATGGGCAGGAGCGAATTGCACATTCTGCTGAAGCAGCATTTACCGCGTCCCTCCACTCCTGCCGTCAGCAGTGGATATAGAGTCAGTCTGGGACTGCTTTGCACGTCACGGGTTTGGAAGTGATGCACCTTGTCCCCATGGACGTCGCAACCAGCCTTGGAATCTGAAGTAGAACATGCAGTAGCTGATTTCGGAAACGACATCGTTTGTTTTGCGGGTAAACGCCATAGACATTCCGAAATGTGGAGATCCCATTGAATAAGAGACTACATCTATTGTTGTCCAAGGACTAGGCGCATAAGCAATACGAATGACACACATGTGGACACAAGAGCGAAGTCAGCATTTGGATTGCGCTTAGGCAACCAGAATGCAGAACGTCAAACATGATCGTAAACATCATTCAGTCGGCTTGTGATTGGAACGGTTGCCACCAGGACCACTCGTGATTTACTGCTGTAATGGTATAAGGCGTGTCGACTCTCGCATCCACGCACACACAGAAGCACAAGGGTTGTGTGGGCAGTTTATAGGTGTGATATGAGTCCTTGGATCGCAAATGACGATATCATTAGGGTCTCAACCAAGAACGACCGACTGCTTCAGGTATGCGCAATCGCTGAGTGATCACAGTCAGCGAGTTTTGATACTGGACTTCAATCCAGGATCCCAAGTACGGGACCCGACACTTTCCACGTAATCTCAAACTGGGCAGGTTAGGCAACAGCCATACAATTGACGAGTCCATACATAAAGGTTGCAGAAACCATGTGTATGACAACGCAGCTCACACTTCGGAACGAATAAGAGGTAACAGCAAGTATGCTCGGACATTTGCATATCCACGATACACATGTTCACCATCGAGCACATTCAGGAGGCAGTCTCGCAGTACCTTCGAGCACCAGGCCAGCAAGGATATTGACTGGATCCTCGATCACATGATCAGTGTACCCGGAGCTGACGATTATGAGTTCGTCAACCTACAGCAATGAACAAGAAAGACAGCGCTTGTGCTCGCAGCGCATCCACGACTACGAGAGCTGCGGGTGGAGGTCCAAAATGTCCATCTACTGTATGGATGCATACGTTGCATTACAGCTCAACCATTTCACTGAGCTAAACGGCATTTATCTCGAATACTAATGGCTGTGCTTGTCCGACTCCAATGTCAAGCCGGTGCCAAGAAGGCGCATTAGCAGGCGGTACAACATAGCGTTATAGATGACACGAGTGATCTTTTGCAGTACCCAAGTGATCATTTCAGAGATCTTGTCAGGCGAGACGGTAAGTCCATAGTCTGCTTCTTTCTTACTTTCACTCTTAGCTCCATGCAGCTGAAAGCTGGTGCAACCGTGGAGGGAGACGCAGGCAAGCCGCGGATCGTCGCGGATCAATGTCTTGTCGCACACGTGTATCGATGGTGGCACATAAATACAGGGCGTCCTTGCAGCAAGGATTGAAGTGAGGAATATAGGCATAGCAGAATTTGTCCTACAAGAGTTTGGCAGTCTGTTCAATCAGGCAAATCGGCGCCATCGAAGGTACCTCACAAATGCTGATGAAGACGAGAGACATTAAATGAGATGTTTCCCAGCTTTTCACTCTCGTCTCGGATGCAGCAGGTACTCGAGCCAACGAATACAGCGTATACCAGGCAGATAGCCTCCGTAGCGTGCTAACACTAGAAGCTGGTAAGACGTAGGTGCACTTGCATGCCTCACATCAGCCATTAGTCAATCGCGGGGACGCGCTCGAAATGGCGCGATAGTATTACAATCATATTGAGCAGAAGCGGACGCGTGTTAGCGGCACTCACCCATCGTGTGTATGGCGATAGATGTAGTGACTTGTGCTATCGTCTAGCAATGCCTTATCGATTCGTAGGCGCAATATTTGCTTCTCGACAACCCTAGTTTTCGCGTCTAATCACATAGCGGATCTTGTGGACTTTTATTCTCCTAAGATTGCTTCGTTTGTACGGTCTGTATCCTTCATTGAAAGGTCCTCGTGCTTCACCTGGTGCCCACGCTTTGCTTGCAAAGGTGCCATGGCGGTACAACAAGCCTAAAACTGATTCATGGCACTATCAGTCTGTGCGCACAGCATCGTCTGTGAACACTACTTACGCGTCACGCAATATTGTCTCGACGCTTTGGCAAACTAGAGCATCAATCTGCGGGTGGTCCCCATGTCATTCTGACGGCGTAGCACTCAACAACAGAGTTGTGCAGAATGTTTACGCGTGCGTCGTCCGCACACATACCTTTATGTGGTAGCTCAATGAAATGTACGTTGTCATTTTAGCGATTTGACTCATACACGGTACAGCTGGTGGTTGCAATCGAGCATACGGAAGTTTGTTTGTACTACCATACTCTGCTAGCCGATGCATCGCAAGCATTTCGTTCGTGCATTGTGTGTAAATCAAGAGGAGCTCAAGAGCTACTTCGGACACGACGAGAACGATATATGTCTGAATGGTCAGACCTCCGACAGACAGTCTCACTTCCTCGTCACCTATTTCTGGCTCGCTTTGGACCGAGATGCAATCGAAGTTGCTTGTTGTTTAATTGTTCACAGCTTATGCTCGTAAGATCAATGACTACATCCATCCACGCATTACGAACGTAGCAGATTGAATGACAGACAATAGAACATTCGGCCTTGCCCTATCTTTCTTACAGTTCGATCCGAGAATGCTCGAAAAGAGCGCTCCAAACTGAACGTCAAGGCCCTCGCTCACCCACACCTATAGATTGGATACCTTCGAGTTGTGACTACGACTTGACAAGTGGAATATGGTGGACGGGAGCCATGAGCAAAAAAGCAGATCACAGTCACGAAATTACAAATTAGCAATAAGGACGAAACGAACGGAAAAGTCGAGCCCGCAAGTCAATGATATTGCAATGTGACAAAGCTGTT